TGTTCTTCTAGATGAATTTTATTATTATTTCTTCTAGCTCAATAAAATAGTTTTTTGGTGGTTTGATTAGTATAGCACTATGTAAATTAATTTTGGTAGAATTCTCATTTTTATTATATTGGCTTAGCCTACCTGTGAGTAATTGATATTTCTCCAGTTGTGTAGATCTGACTTTATTTATATGGAAAGCGTTTTGTAATTGTGTTTATATAGTTCCTGGGTTTGTCTTGGCAGGTAGAACCCCAAGTATTTTATAATGTCTATAGTTATTTTAAATGAAATTTCTCTATCACTTACTGCTGAATTTTGTTGGTAATATATAGAAATGCTTGTGACTTTTATGGACTTGTTTTATATCCTACAGCTTTGCTAAAGTTATTAATTATTTCAACTAGATTTTTAGTTGATTCTGTAGGATTCTCTAAGTATACTATCATGTCATTTGCAAACAGTGATGGTTTTGTTTCCTCATTGCCTATGCTAATTCCTTCAATTTCTTTTTCTTGTCTAATTGCTATAGCTAACATTTCTAGTACAATATTGAATAATAGTGATGATAATGGACATCTTGCTTCAACTCTGATCTTACTGGAAAAGCTTCTAGCTTAATCCCATTACAGGTAGTGTTTACTGGTGATTTTAGATAGACAAGACTTATCATTTTGAGGAAAACTTAATTTATTCCTACACTCTCTAGTGTTTTTAATAGGAGTGGGTGTTGTATTTTTTCAAAAGCCTTTTCTGCGTCTGTTGAGATAATCATATGATTTCTGTTGATTTTGTTATTGATATGCCATATGTTATTGATATGCTGATAGTTTTCCTAATATTGAACTAGTCCTGCATTCCTGGCATAAATCCCAACTGGTCATAGTGTAGGATCCTTGTGGTACAGTGCTAATCTCCTTGCAAGTATTCCAATTAAAATTTTTGCATCAGTGTTCATTAGGGAAATTGGTGTATTCTGTACTTTTCTTTTTCTATTTTCACTCTTTCTGGTTTAGTTATCAGTCCCATATTTGTATCACAATGAGGAATTTGGTAGGACTCCTTCTTTGCCTTTTTTCCAAATAGTTTTATGTAGTATTGGAATTAATCATTCTTTCTTTTTCTTTTTTCAGCCAAAGACAAGGTTTATTAGAAAATCTGTCATATTGGTTAGACTCTTAAGGAATCTAAGCATTTGTATAACCAATGCAAGTGGGCCAGATTTTAAGAATCTGAGCAGTGGCTAGATTTTAAGCATCTGAGCACCTTAATGGAGACAAGATGGACCTTATACACAGAAAGACTGTGGGAGAGATCTAGGAGTGGCCAAGTAGTCTATAAGGGACTGTGAGGTAATAGAATGCCAGGAACCTGGACCATGGCCAAGGGAGAATGGAGCCTAGATAGGATTAAGGGTGACAAGTGGCCAGGGGCCATGGTGAGGTGAGACAATGGAGGACTTGGCTAGGTTAAGGGTTGATAGGATCGTAGCCTCAGGCAAAATTTGGCCATGTGGGAAAGTCCAGGGTTTTTCCTTTTTGGGGTCCAGATCCCATCCTCATCATTCCCCACTCAATCATTCTTTAAATGTTTGGTAGAGTTCACTGGTGAATCCCTCTGACCCTGGGTATTTTTTGCTTAGGGAGTTCATTGATGGCTTGTTCAATTTCTTTTTCTGATTTGGGGTTAGGTATTCTATTTCCTCTTTTGCTAATCTGAGCAATTTTTATTTTTGTAAATATTCATCCATTTCACTTAGATTGTCAGATTTATTTTAACATAATTGGGCAAAATAGCTCCTAATAATTGCTTTAATTTCCTCTTCATTTGTGGTGAATTCACCCTTTTCATTTTTGATACTGGTAGTTTTATTTTCTTCTTTCTTTTTTTTAAATCAAATTAACCAATGGTTTATCTATTTTATTTTATTTTTCATAAAACCGGCTCCTAGCTTTATTTATTCAATTGTTTTTTCTTACATTCACTTTTATTAATCTGTCCTTTGATTTTCACTATTTCCAATTTAGTATTTAATTAGGGATTTTTAATTTATTCTTTTTCTAGTTTTTTTTAGTTTCATGCCCAGTTCATTGATCTGCTCTTTCACTATTTTATTTATGTAAGTATTTAGAGATATAAATTTTCCCCTAAGTATTGCTTTGGCTGTGTCCCATAAATTTTGGTATGTTGTCATTCTCTTTAATGAAATTATTATTTCTGTAATTTGTTCTTTGACCCCCCACTCATTCTTTAGAATTAAATTGTTTAGTTTTCAGTTAATTTTTAATCTACCTTTTCATGGGCCTTTATTGAATGTCATTTTTATTGCATTATGATATGAAAGGGATATATTTAATATTTCTGTTATCAGCATTTGGTTATGAGGTTTTTATGCCCTAATGCCTGGTCAATTTTTTGTGTAGGTGCTATGTACCACTGAAAAAGGTATCAATTCTTTTCTATTCCCATTCAGTTTTCTTAAGAGATCTATCAAATCTAACTTTCCTAAAATTCTATTACTTCCTTAATTTTTTTCTTCTTTATTTTGTGGTTAAATTTATATAGTTCTGAGAGGGGAAAGTTGAGATCCTCCACTAGTATAGTTTTACTATTCCTTCTTGTAACTCATTTAACTTCTTTAAAACTCTGGATGAACCATTTGGTGGATATATGTTTAGTATTGATATTACTTCATTGTCTATAGTACCTTTTAGCAAGATGTAATTTTCTTCCTTATCTCTTTTAATTAGATCTGTTTTGGGGGCAGCTAGGTGGCGCAGTGGATAAAGCACTGGCCCTGAAGTCAGGGCCTGAGTTGAACTTGAGTTCAAATCCAGCCTCAGACCAAGCAGTTGACACTTACTAGCTGTGTGACCCTAGGCAAGTCACTTAACCCTAATTGCCTAAAAAAAGAAAAGAAAATCAGATTTTCTGGTCAGCTGTTTTCATCAGAAATGCTTGAAAGTCCTCTGTTTCATTAATATCCATTTTTCTCCCTGAAGGATTATATTCGTTTTCACTGGGTAGGTGATTCTTAGTTATAATCCTAGCTCATTTGCCTTCTGGAATATTATATTTCAAGCCCTCTGATCCTTTAATGTAGAAGCTACTAAATTCTGTGTAATCCTGTCTGTGGCTCCACAATATTTGAATTGCTTCTTTCTGGCTGCTTGCGGCATTTTCTACTTGACTTGAGAGTTCTGGAATTTGGCTATAATATTCCTGGGAGTTTTAATTTTGGAATTTCTTTCAGGAGGTGATAGATGAATTCTTTATACTTCCATTTTACCCTCTATTTGTAGGATATCAGGACAGTTTTCCTTAATAATTTCTTGAAAGATGCTGTCCAGGCTCTTTTTATGATCATGGCTTTCAAGTAGTCCAGTAATTCTCTCCTTGATCTCTTTTCCAGGTCAGTTGTTTTTCCAATGAGATATTTCACTTTTTTTTGCATTTTTTTCATTCTTTTGATTTTGTTTTATTGTTTCTTGATGTCTCATGGAGTCATTAGTTTGTACCTGCCCAATTCTAATTTCTTCAATGAGCTTTTGTACTTCCTTTTCCATTTGGGCAATTCTAATTTCTAAGGAGTTTTCTTCAGCAAATTTTTATATATCTTTTTCCGTTTTTTGTGCTTCCTTTATCAAGCTGTTGACTCTTTTTTCATGATTCTCATGCATTACTCACTTTTCTTTTCCCAATTTTTCTTATACCTTTCTTATTTGATTTTTTGAGCTTTTCCAGGAATTCTTTTTTCAGCCTGAGACTAATTCACATTTTTCTTTGTGGCTTTACATGTAGGTGTTTTGACATTGTTGTCCTTTTCTGAGTTTATGCTTTGATCTGCTCTGTCACCATAGTAACTTTCTATGGTCAAGTTCTTTTTTTCTTTTCTTTTCCTTCCTTCCTTCCTTCCTTCCTTCCTTCCTTCCTTCCTTCCTTCCTTCCTTCCTTCCTTACTTCCTTCATTCCTTCCTTCCTTCCTTCCTTCCTTTCTTTCTTTCTTTCTTTCTTCCTTCCTTTCCTTTCTTTCCTTTCTTTCTTTCCTTTTCTCATTTTTCTACCCTATTTCTTTACTTAACTATGTTAAGTTGGGTTCTGCTCTTGGGGTAGAGAAGGCACTCTCCCAAGCTTCAGGTTTTTCACGCTCTGTTTTCAGAACTAATTCTAGGGACCTATACGTTTTGAGTTCTTCCAAGGTGGTGTGATCTAAGGAGAAGCGTGGTCGCTGCTCTCCTGGCATGTGCCCTGGTCTGTGACCAACCACAAGTACTCGTTTCTACCCTACAGCTGTGGTTAGGATTCCTGCTTCCCTGTGACTGCATGCTCTTGTGTGCTAGTGTTTCTCCTCACCCTGAGTCTGCAACCCAGATCTGAGTGTGACCCAGATTTCCTGCACCCAGTGCCAGCAAAGTATCCTTTGTCATCTCCTTCTGACCAATTGTCCAGCCCCCTTACTATCTATGGGCTTAGAGCTCTAGGAGCTTCTGCTGTTGATTCATTTGGCCCCAACGCCTGCACGGATGTGCTGGGACAGGAGCTGCTGCTGGCCCTCAGTGAGTCCTGTGCTGGACTGCGCTCCACTCTCACCTCAGTGAGACAGACCTTTCCTGTCGACGTTCCAAGTTGTCTTGGACTGGAAAATGGTTTCACCCTGTCCTTTTGTAGGTTCTATCACTCCAGAATTTGTTTTGAATTGTTATTTTAAAGTTTTTTGGAAGGGAATTTGAGAGTGCTTAGGCAAGTTCCTGCCTTATTCCACCATCTTCTGTGCAGATATATTCTATGATGCTGAGATTATTGGCAGCTGTTTCCATTAACAGAGATAATTGAGAACTGTCTCCATTCTGTGATAAGGCACAGAGTCTGGTTGTGAAGGAGAGATTATTTGTTCAGTACTATATTTCTTCTTCCCTGTGGCAATTTACAAATGAATTCCTTGAATAACAACAAGAAACCAAGAGAGGGTGATTTTAATATAGTTATCTCATCTTGCTTCTTATTTTCTTCAGACGTGTCACCTGGGGGAAGTATATGAACTGTGGTCAGATCTGCATTGCTCCAGACTACATTCTTTGTGAGCCGTCCCTCCAGAGTCAGATTGTGGAGAGGATAAAGGAAACTGTGAGGGTGAGTGAAGACTCAGTATTATCAGAGAGTTTCTTACTTGGCTTTATTAGAATTGCCATTTGCATAAGATAAACATGTCACATAACTAGCCATGGCTTCGGTGTTAATGGTTAATCTACAAATTCCAGCTATATACTCAATGTTTATTGACCCATTTATTATTTTACCTGGTGTAGATCTATCCTCCCCTCTCTGTTACCTGTTCTCTGATGTATAAATCATTACCTTCCTCTTCTGCCCTCTATAAAATTCCACTGTTTACATCTAGCTTATGTAACCAAAATCTGTAGACTGTAGCATAAGACTACTACTCAGGGCCCACTGGTTTTTATATACGGTGGGTCTATGCTGTGATATATGACACATGTATGTATGTGTGTGTGTGTAATAAACCCGTTTTTGCATGTCTCTGTGTATTGATAAATATGATTGGAAGCATGGGGGGGTGTAGGGCGGGCTGGATGATGAGAAAGGGTCATCCTCATGTTCTCCTTTCCTGTCTTGGTCTCAGTGATTACTCACCCCATTTGAACAATTCCAGTGAAAGATTGTCGAATGATGGTCATTGCCATCTAGCTAAAAGAAACAACCTGACAATTTAATCTTTTTTTTGGGGGGGGGGGCTGAATTAAGTGATCGGTCCAGTAGTGCTCAATCTACTGTAATTCCCTTATTAGTAATATTAGTGGGCAGGTGATTGGTGAGCGAGCGCATGCTATTATGCAGATGGCAAACTGTCAGACTGACTCGCACGTGTGAGCCAGTGATTACCGAGCCCTTTGGAATTGATCCCAGCTGTCTGATAGTGATCACTCTTTAAAAGTAACAAATCACACTTAGTGCAGCACTCCAAGGGCTGATGGTTCTGCTCCTGTGGGCACTCCCCCACAGGTGCAGAGTGCAGCCCTCTATACCTGAGCAGAAGGTCTTTGTGAGTTACTGTGGCTGAAACATTCCTTGCTTTGCAGCCAACCTGGGGCCAGGCTTTTCCACACTGAACCTTTGACAGCTGACTTAGAGAGGCCTTCATAGGGGGTGTGGGCCCGCCCTGTTGGTGTACTGAATCCTTGTCTCCTGCATGACACAGAGGTGCAGTCTTTATTTTGCTGTGTGTCATTTACTTATTAAAGTGAATTAAAAATACTAGAGAATTTTGAGAAGTTTGGTGATAACTCTTAAGATCATTTGAGAGACCCCGACATGTCATAGAACTGGGATGGGAACCACAGATGTAAACACACTCTATCTCAGACAGCATCAGTTGTGTGCAGAATACTGGACCTGTTACTCTGGAGAGTTCATTTAGTAATCATTCAGGAGATATTTGGAATTTTCCTTGCCACTGAAGAAACCAAAGGGCATTCTCTTGACAGGAAGATCACCATGAGTGAAGGCAGAGATGAGGGAATTAACAGGAAATGTTGAGAGGGGCTGCTGAGGAGACTGACCTAGCTAGAAAGGAGAGCTTATGTTAGAGGGGACCATATAAAGATGGAGTTAGATGAGAAAGTGTTGGTGTCCTCTGAATACTGTTTGGACTTTATCTGCTAGGTAATATAGCGAACTTGTGGGTTCCTCATTTGGGAATGAAAGTGACATTTCAGGAAGAGGAATCTAATCTGGTAGCAGAGTTCAAGATAAACCATAGACAGAAGCTGTTGGGATGCTGTTGAGTAATCTGAGCCTAAATTGCTGAAGGCCTGGGCTAGGTGGTTATGGAGCTGGAAAGGAGGGAGCAAATGACTTCACCAAACTAGTTTCGTCTGCTTTGTAGCTTCAGGAGTCACTTCTATGTGAATCATTCCCAAATCTCGATTTTTTACCTCCACTATCTCCCCAGTGTCAGTCTCATATTACAACTGCCTGTTTTCTCTACCTAGGTGTCTCACCAATACCTCCAACTCAACACATCCAGAAAAACACCTTTTCCCTTCAGAAAATCTGTGCTTCCCCAAAACGTGTCTCTTTCTGTTGTTGGTACCACTGTCTTCCCAGCTTTCCAAGGCATCTTGGACTCTTCTCTTTCCCTCACCTCCCACTATCCTGTATCAGTCATCTTCTTCAGTCAGTTCTACCTCCTCAATACACCTTGCCTCTGGCTCCTCTACATTCCTACTCCCGGAGCCCCACTTCTCTTCATGCCCAGACTATGGGAATGGTTTCTTGTCCTCCTTCTTGAGGACAGACTTCACATAGCTCTCCGTGTAATCTTCCTGTTGTACTGTTCCTATCAGTGACCTGTTCCAAAACCTCCAATGGCTTCCAGTCAGTTATTCAATAAAGTATAAATTCCAGATCCTGGTGTTTCAGACTCTCTAAAATGTGGCTTCAAGCTACCTTTCCAGCCTTAATCTCATTCGTTACAGCTTTCACATTCTCTACATTTCAGTCAAATGGTCAGGTGCACCCACCTCCCCTCCCCCCACTTGTCCTGCCCTTCTCCTCTTTCGGGGTGGGGGGAGGCGCAGAACAAGGGGTGTCAAGATTCCCTCCCGCTTAGAGCTGATTCTCTGGCACTTTCCTTCTTCATCTGTGGAAGTTTCTTTTTTCCCTCAAAACCTAACTCAGGTGCTAACTCCTCCACTGAGCCTTCCCTCATAGCCCTATTCCCCCACCCCCTGCAACTGAAAGTGTTCTTTCCATCAGGTTTCTCTTAATGCTTGGCCTTGACCTACCTTAGCACTTCTCACCATTTCCCTTGCAGCAGAGTTCTTGGCACACATGTTCCCTCCCTCTCAAGAACACTCTCTTTCCTGCATTATCCCATTGTGCTCCTCTTCACATAGTCTACATTCTGACCAACATTAACTCCTGTCTGCCCTTTCCTGTCTCTTTCTGAAATGTGGGGAACTTGAGGAGAGATGCCACATTGAAGGCAGAAAGTGAGTCAGATTTGTTATTGTGGTTCCATTTGTTTCGCTTTGTTAACTTGATTCCTGTTTTCTTTTCCTGTACTTGGCAGGGGGGAGGGGTGTGTGTGTGTGTGTGTGTGTGTGTGTGTGTGTGTGTGTGAGACACCATGAATGACTTCAGGCTCTTCCCACAGAAATGAGAGGTTGTGGAAATTGGGGTCTACAGGCTATGTGAAGACTTGGGTCATCATTTCATGGCAGTCTTGGAGCATGTAGATCTCTAACATTGTAGTTCCCCTGTGCTTATAAGTAGGGAGATTCTTTGGGAACCTCTGTTTTTCCATACTTGGGGACCCATTGCTTCTCACAAAGTAGATAACAAAATTTGAGACCCTTAACTTCTGTCTTCATGGAGGTGTCTGAAAGCAGAAGAAAGGTACAAAATGGCTGCAGCTCTTTAGCGTCAATGATATTCATGGACTTTGATCGATGGGGTATCCTCACTGTATGATGTGAGGAGATTGATTCCTTTGGACTGTGATTGTATATATGGTTGTGTAGGGAAGGCTGAAGAGCCTAAAAATTAGGACTGTCTCTTGGCTGGCATGTCTGAAGTGCCAGTCTTCTCTTGGGCACCCTGGGTAAAGACAACATGCAATACCTGAGTAATTTTTACCATCTCTGGGCTTTTCCTCTTCCATCTATGGGACTTGATCCAAAACAATGACCTTTCAGAACCCCATCCATAACAATCATTTAGCCAGAGATAATACAAATAAGTCATATGGAGCTATGGGCAGAAATGTGAGGATGATTTGGGAAGCAAGGTGGGTTCCTGACCTGGGTGTGTTCTGAGTTCTTCAAATTAATTGGTGGAATTATGAGTCTAAGTACATTTAATTATTTTAAATAGGAATTCTATGGTGAAGAAATAAAAAAGTCTCCTGATTATGAAAGGATCATCAACCTGCATCATTTTAAAAGGGTGACAAGTTTACTCGAAGGACAAAAGATAGCTTTTGGCGGGGAGACGGACGAGGCTACACGATACATAGGTATTTTACTTTTTTTTGATATGGGAGATGATGGTTTATTAGTTTATATACCTGTGAATACTATTTTTGATTATTTAATTTTTTTAAGCCTTGACTGTAATGACTAATAAATACTGGTGTAAGTGAGTTATTCAGTTTGTTTGAGAGTGAGTGGTATGGTCTGAACCTGTGGTTTTATTTAGGTGGGAAATTCTGGGTGTAAACACTGTCCTTACTAGTGGAGACTGGCACTTGTCTTTGCCTTAGAGAGTTCCCTGTAGCCTTGAGAGTTCATGAGACTTCTTCATGGTCATACAGTCAGTACGTATCAAAGGCAAGACTTGACCTCAGGTCTTCCTGACTCCAAGGCTGGGACACCAATGCACAGCTCCTCTGTTTTCAGCTTCTTCCCTATAACTACAACTTAAATCAATTGTACTCTCTCAAAGTTTATTTTTATTTGTTGCCTGGTGTTGGCTTTATAACAACCCTGGGAGGAAGGTAGGATGAGTAGAATTGCTCTTATTCTGGCACATGAGAAAAATCACAAAAAAGGGATGGAAGCCTCTGGCCAGGGATTGGCAGAATTGTTCCAGAAACGGTTTATTGGTTCATTATTGCCAACTTTGTTTTTTTACCTCTGAAGAACCAGGTGGCACTTCGGTTTGGCCAAGAGGCTGCCAAAATATCCTTTCTTATTCCCTTCTGACAGCAGTGAATGACCGTAGTAACTTTGTATTTGACAAGTGTAAAGATTTAAGTTTGGGGAATAAGAATTAATTATTTTGTAAAAATTGTTGGGAAAGCTGGAAAGCAGTTTGGCAGAAACTGGGCATAGACTAGTATCTTACACCATTTACCACGATAAGGTCAAAATGTGTTCACAACCTAGATATAAAGGGAGATACTACAAGAAAATTTGAAGAAGATGGAACATATTACTTATCAGACTTATGGATAGGTGAATAATTTATGAATAAACAAGAGAAAGAGAGCATTGGGAGGTGTAAAATGGATAATTTCAATTATATTAAATTAAAAAGAATTTGTACAAATAAAACCAATGTAGCCAAGAGCAGAAGGAAAGAAGAAAGTTAGGAAAAAACTTTTTTATAGGCAGTTTCTCAGATAAAGGTCTTATACCTTAAATATATAAAGAAATTTGTCAAATCTGTAAGAGTACAAGTCATTCTCCAATTGATAAGTAGTCAAAGGATATGAACAGGCAGTTTTCTGATAAAGAAATCAGAACAATTTATAGTCATATGAAAAAATGCTCAAAATCATTATTAATTAGAGAAATGCAAATTAAAACAATCTTGAGATATCATTTTACACCTATCAGATTGGCTAAAATGATAGGGAAAGCAACAAATTTTGGGGGGCGTGTGGAAAAATTGACGCATTAATTCATTATTAGTGGAATTGTGAACTAATACAACCATTTTGGAAAGCAATTTGGAATTATGGCCAAGAGTTATAAAACTGCCTATCCTCTTTGACCCAGCAACACCACTGTTAGGTCTGTTGCCCAAGATGATTAGGGAGAAAGGAAAAGAACCTATATGTTCTAAAATATTTACGGCAGCTCTCTTTGTGGTGGCAAAGAACTGGAAACTGAGGGGTGCCTATCAATTGGGGAATGACTATAAACAAGCTGTGGCGTATGATTGTGATGGAATTCTGTTGTGCTGTAACAAATGATGAGCTGGATGATTTTAGTGAAACATGAAAAGACTTGCATGGGGGGCACCTAAGTGGCGCAGTGGATAGAACACTGGCCCTGAAGTCAGGAGGACCTGAGTTCAAACTCGGTCTCAGACCAAACACTTGACACTTACTAGCTGTGTGACCCTGGGCAAGTCACTTAACCCCAACTGCCTTAAAAAAAAAAAGGAAAAAAAAGGAAAAGACTTGCATGAAATAATGAAGAGCAAAATGAGCAGAACCAAGAGAACATTGTATATAGTTAACAGCAATATTGTTTTGAGTGACCAAGTCATTTTGACTATTATAAATACCCAGATTAACCAAAAAGGCCCTATGAAGGATGATGCTGTGTGTATCCAGAGAAAGAACTGATAAATAGAAGTATGCATAGTATGGTTTTACATATGTGTCTAACGGTGGCCATCTTTGGGGGGAGCAAGTTACATGATAACTTTATTATATATTTAGAGGGAAAAGCAAGTTGCACACAATAGATTTGCAATCCTCTTTTTTTCTATTCTACTTTTTATGGGAAATGCTTGTTTTATTAAATTCAGAATTAAAAAAAAATTTTTTTTAAAGCCTTCTGAGCTAGTTGTGACATTTGGCCTTGTTGAGCTGAGGCATCAGATCTGCTCCCAAGATGGTCTGACAAAGACAGCAAGAACTGTGACAGATGGTTACTGGTTGAACCACGTCCCCTCCCTCTGCACTGGTCATTGTGGCTTTTGAGGACCCTCTTAACTTCCAGGTTTCCTCCTTCTCACTGTATCAGCCTTAGAACACAGGGGCCGACCTCGCTGTCGTGACTCCTTGCAGAGCCTCTTCAGGGCTGTTGAACCTTTCACAGGTCACGTGGCCTCACGATTGCCTGGTGTCAGAACTTGGCAGAGCTGAATTAGATCCCATTGTGTGTGTTCATGTTTCAAATAAAAACCTGTCTTTATTCAGATAAAGTAAGCCTTGCTTCTTTTGGACGCGGCATCTGGGCTTTAAGTGGTCACCACTGACCCATCTTGCAGTGTGGAAGAGCATTGGCTCTCTGTAGGGTGTGCCAGGCTGTGCGGGAGAGCGAGGACAGGGTGCTGAAGCAGAAGACCGGCTCTCCCTCCGGCCTTAACTGACAGCGCAAGTCACTTACTCTGTTGCTGTAGCTGTTAAATAGGGACATTAATACTAGTTCTGCCCGTCTTCCCTACATACAGGCTTGTTATGGGGATCAGATGAGCCTAGAGAGGCAAGGCAGGGATGGAGGGAGGAAGCACCCCTAGAGAGGAGGGCATGTATACTAAAAAGGCGTGCAGACGTATCTCCCATCATGCTTCGCGTACCAGGTTGCCCATCTGCCTGTACAGGTTCCCCGCCAGACACATGCAGATAACTTCTGATGCTTCCCAGGTGTAAGCACTGCTCAGAGAGTGAGCAGACAGGTAGGTGAGGAGGCAGAGGGCCCAAGTCACACAGCAGGTGATCACATGTATAGGTCTGGTCAGAATGGAAGAAGAGACAAGGCTACCTCATTCCTGCTTCGTTATTTTGTTTTATTTTCTTCATTGCAGCCCCAACTGTCCTTACTGACGTTAACCCCAACTCCAAGGTGATGCAAGAAGAGATATTTGGTCCTGTGCTTCCAATAGTGCCTGTGAAAAATGCAGATGAAGCAATACAGTTCATAAACCAGCGAGAAAAACCCCTGGCCCTGTATGTGTTTTCTAATAACAATAAGGTGAGTGTTAGGGAAATGCTTACCCAAAGTCTGGGCTGCAAAATACAGTCCTCTTCTTTGTCAGTAAGTCAAAAGGTGTTTGTCTCATTTAGAGCCACACTTCACCAGGTAGGACTGCATCCATTGGATTTCTCTTTGGGTTAAGGGGGCCTGTGGGATGTTGCTGAGCTTACAAAATGTTCTTAAGCTTTCCCCAACTTCTCTGACGTGTAATTGAGTCTTAAGAGGGTGAATGTCCCAAGGCGTGTGGCTCACAAACAGCCCTGAAGTGTAATGGGAAAGCATCATTTCAAGTGCAGCTTGCCTTTCTCTCCCTAATCCATACAGGATTGATGGCCAGGTGGTTGATGGCTTTCTCCTTATTTAATTGGGGGCACGCAGGGGAGCAGGAAATAGACATGGATGGGGGTGGAGGAAGGATGGGGGGGGTTTGAAGTATGAGGTCTGATTCCTCCATGGCCGTTGTGTGAGATCTTGGGAGGCAAAGAGGTTGTGTCTATGATGTCTTCCTCCTCCTCAGTCTTTCCGAGCCCTGTCTCATGATAGGAAGACTAAATTAGCCAGCGTAGTTCATCGACTCCCGCACAGCAGCGGTGTTGCTTCTGCAATAGGGTTCCCAATCCACGTTGTTTTGTGGCTCACTGGGACAGCTGGACTAATTGGGAGGAAGAGGAGTGACTGGGAAGAGGAGGCTGCTGTCCAGAGGCAGCCCAAGCAGCCAGTGGGCCGGGAAAGGCCCGTCTTGCTAGGAAGAATTGTTCCACCCTCAGAATCTAGAAAAAAGTGGAGCCCCAATAGGGTTAGGCCCTTGCAAAGGGGCAGCTCAGGTCTGATCAGCTAATAAAGTGGACTTTTTTTCTCTTTTAGGAAAAAAAAGTTTTATTGATGCCTTTTGTCTTTATATCAGAGTTATTTCCTGCTCCCAAAATGAACTGTTCCCTTCTACCAAAGAAAAGCTATTGAATACATGAAATGTCTGGGCAGCTAGGTGGTGCAGTGGATGGAGCCCCAGGCCTGGACTCAGGAAGACTTATATTCCTGAGATCAAATCTGGCCTTGGACACTTACTAGCTGTGTGACCTTAGGCAAGTCACTTAACCTTGTTTGCCTCAGTTCCTCATTGGTAAAATGAGCTGGAGAAGGAAATGGCGAATGGCATTATCTTTTCCAAGAAATCCCCAAATGGGGTCACAAAGAGTTGGACACTAGTGAAAAACGACTGAACAACAACACCGAAGCGTGAAATGTCGAAGCATTGAGAGTGCCCTTCTCTGGCAGTTGGTCTCTCCGTGTCTCAGCCCGGGCCCCCCTCTCTGCTGTGGCATGGGAGCTGTTTCGTTACTGCCTCCTGGGACCTTCACTGCTTTGCCCCTTACTTGAAAGCAGGTTTCTTTTTCGTGGCATTTTCATCTGTGTTATAGCTGTGGTATATGTTCTCTTGGTTCTTCCTGGAACGGGGGCCAGAAGCATTTGTTCCGGATGTGTTGGGGGAGCAGTTAGGAAGGGTGCTGGCACCTGGAAGCTGAGCGTCGGCACATCAAGTTTTTGTTTGTGTTGGCTGTGTCTTTTGGAGTTTTGGCGGTAAAGCCAGATGGCGTGCAAAGCGACAGATGAGATCACACGTCCGTCCACGAAGCAAGCGCTCATCCCTCGGGCCAGACCTGGGGGCTCGTGCTCCGTTACTCGACACCTCCATCCTCTGTGTTGTCCCCAGCTTCTCTGTCTCACTCACCCTATGTCCTCCATCCTTTGCTAAATCCTGACTTTTCTAGAAGAGACAGCATCTCTCATACATGCCCCCCTTTCTCCACTCGTGGCCACCCCACTGCTGCAGGCCTTCACCCCCTCTTGCCTGGGCTGTTGCAGTAGGAGCCTTCTAACTGATCTCCCTGCCCTGGGCCCTCCTCTGCTCAGCTGCCCCTCAGTGGTCTGCCCAGGGAGCTCCAGGCACTCCCCATTACCTTCCACTTCAAGGGCAGAATTCCCTGACATTTAAAGCTCTTCGCTACCTGCTCCTTTTCAGTCTTCCATTTTATTCTCCTCCACTCACTCACAATCCAGCTCCACTGGCCAACATGTCATTCCTCTGTGGTACTGGTCTCCTCCATGCTTGGGGTGCTCTGTCTCTTTCCCCCCCTGCCCCCCGATCTCTGCCTCTTAGCTTCCCTGGTTCCCTTAAAAATTCCACTAATCAGTTCCTGCCTTCCAGCAGAGGCCTGTCACAGTCCCTCCCTCCCTCCCTCTGCCTTCTCCTCTGAGGTGACCTGTCATCTGCACTGCATACATCCTATATGCACCCAGTCATTTACACTTCACCCTTAGAATGTGAATTCCTTAACACCAAGGACTGTTTTTGCTTTTCATTGTGTCCCCGGTGCTTAACACAATGCCTGGCACAGAGTAAGCATTTTTTGATTGATTATTTTAAATTTTTGTTTATTTAACTTCAGAAAATAAAACCGTTTTGAAGAAAACTCAACCTCTTTCTTGGGGTGAGCTCGGCCAGTGGCTGCATGATCTCAGCAGGGCCTGACGGCAGTGGGAGAGAGGCCCAGGAGGAGCTTGCATGCCAACATTGTTTGTTATTGGGAAGAAAATGTTGAGTAAAAGGGAATGAGTCAAAAGAGGTAGAAGAGGACTTGATTCCCAGAGGCAGCAGATTAGGCTGGAATGGAAATCTAGGCGACCCCCTTTCCTGCCTCAGCTCCTGTTTTCTCACAAACTCGTCATATTTGGAGATGCTTTGTAGGGTCTCATCTGCAAGTATCTCTAGCATCTACTCAAGTGGGATGCTTGAATAAGGAGTAAGTCATGGAACAGAGATTGGATGAACTTGGTTCTCTAGGAAGCCCCCTAGAGTACATAGGCTGGGGACTCCTTCATGTCTCATGAGAAAGTGGAATGAACACTGCTTGAGATAACTGCATGGATGCTAACAAGTGAAAGGGAAGGGTTTTCAAGTGCCGGCCAGAGACCAAGACCAACTGGGCCTGTCAGCAAGGCTGCAGCAAGCCAGCGTTATACATAAACATGAGCCAGTTCCAACAGAGAAGTGCCATTGTCAGCTGAAGCAGCACCTACTTTATTTATTAAGCACCTACTTTTTGCAAAGAATTGTGCTGGGCACTGGGAAACAGCAAGACAAAACCAAAACCATCCTTGGCTTCAACAAGTGTACATTCTGCTGGGAGCAGAGGTGGGGCCAATAGGACCTGAACACCAGTGAGTGTAATTCGGGCTACCAGTCAGGAGAGGGAGACCCAAGAAAGCTGTCTAGAGCTCATGTGTGGCATCCTAAGTCTTCTAAGGAAGATAAGAACTCTAAAAGGCAGAGAGGTGAAGCATGGGGATAGCTTGTGTGAATGTATGAAGCCAGGGATGGAATGTACCGTGAGGCATGGCTAGGCTGCAGCAAAGGTGGTGTGAAGGAGAGTGATGCGAAATAAGACTAGAGAGGTAGGTTAGACCCAGATTGTGAAGAGTCTTAAAGAGTTTTGCGTTTTATCTCAGGGCAGTAGGGAGCCATAGATTGCTTTTGAGAAGAAGAGTGATGTGATCCAACCTGTGCATAAGGAGGGTGATTTTGGCAGCTGTGTGGAAAGAGGATTGGAGGAAAGGGGAGTCCTGCCACCTGTGCCCCTGAGGTCCCCTTCCCTTCCTTGGTGATCTCCTCTGCTCCCACGGGTTCAGCTGTCATACTTAGGCAGATGACTCCCACATATATATCCAGCCCGCCTCTCTCCAGAACCCTAATCCATATATGGTCATCTACCTGTTTGAATCTCCAACTGGATTCCTGTAGGCATCTCCATCTCAAATTGTACAAAGTGTTCAGCTTATTATCTTTGAACCCTCCCCCCCCCAAACTCTGTCCTCTTTCTGACTTGGCTGTTTCTGTTGAGGTTCCCACTATCCGTTCTGTTGGGAGTCATTGTTCACTTCCTGTATCTTCCTCTTCAGTTATCTCCTCCATGTGTATCTCACTGCCACCACCCTGCTTCAGGCCCCTTCCGTCTCCCAGTCAGGACTCTTGCATTCAGTCTCTCCCTTCTCTGATCCATTCTCCATACTGCTCCTGAAGTGTGAGATTCCTAAAGCCCGGGGCTCCTCGTGGCATTCCATGCTCAAGAAGTCCCACATGCTCCCTCCTATTTACAGTGGGATCTAATACAAACTCTTCCGTTTGGCTCTCAGAGCCCTTCACAGTGAGACACCAGCCTCCGTCTTTGGACTTAGTGCACCTACTTGGCATTGTAGCCAAACATGTCTGCCTGTCATTCCTCATACGTGGCAGCCCATTTGCCGTCTCTGTGCCTTTTCCTCAGTTGTCTCCCATGCCTGGAATCCATTCCTTCCTTACTTTTGCTGCATGGATTTCCTGGCCTCCTCCAGGAAGCCTGTCCTGATTCCTCCCATCTCCCCAGAATTTACATTGTGTGCACTCTGTATTGAATATTTTCTCCTAGCTGAAAGAATGAAAAAGCATTCATTAAGTGCTTGGTATGTAGAAAGCACTGTGCTGATTGCTAGGGTTACAAAAGGAGAATCCGGAGTTCCTCCTCTCCACAAGTTCTTGTTCTAATGGGAGCAGCAGTGCACTTAGGATTCAGTTGTGAGTCAGTAGACATCTATTAAGTGCCAGGCACTGTGCTGTGCACTGGGAAGACTGAGAGGAAAAAAAGGCAGTCTTTGCCCTCAAGAAGCTTTCAGTCAAACAGATTAAGAGAGCTGAAAGGGCAGGGGGGGAGGAAGTACCTGGTACAGGGACATAGAGGAATGGCGGAGAAGCCAAGGAAGTCCAAAATGAATGCGGCCCCAGGACGTGCATCCATCATTTCTACCAACAATCATCCGTTTCTAGTATTGGGTCGTTTGATAGTGCCAAAGACTTGTGGTAAGAACTTTGTTTTCCAGGTCTTCAGTGGTGGAGCTCAGTGAGTGCAGTCACATCTCCAGTGTTTGGTACAATGAGTAGGTGCTTGATCGACGCTCACTAAATGAGTGGGTGCTGAGGCGGGGGGCACGGGGAGTGGAGCAGTCGGGCTCCAGGTGATATGAGGTAATACGAATTCATGTGGGCCCAGCTGTGTGGCGTTCTCCAGTAACATACAGCAGCCAAGAAGTGAGAGCAGAAAGGGCAGGCGGTGGGTGTGATCCAGGGCCATGAACAGCAGAAGGACAGGAAGGCAAGAGATTGAAGAGCAGAGAAAGTACTGGTTAACTAGAAAGCAGGACCTGGAGGTCCTGGAGGGGAGAGAAGGAGACCACGCATGGAATAGGGAGCCTGGAGGTTTGTATGAGGATGAAGAAGAGAGTTCAGAAACAGACCAGAGCGACCATCTCGGGTCCTGACTTCCTGGGGTCTGACAAGCCAGATGTGGCTGAGATGCAGATGTTCAGTAAATCTAAACTGTGGAACACAGAAACATGAGACAAAACTCCACTGTTTTCGAAAGAAACCATTGGGCAGGAGAAGCAGGCAGTGAATGGTAGTGAGGTCTGGCCTGCCAGTGTGCCAACATGGTACATTCTGTAAGCACCGTCTTCAGCTTTCTAAGGTGTAAAGAGTGGGATCGAGTTTAAATAACTGTGTTCCCCACTTTCGACGTGAAAAAAAAATAGAACTATTGGTTTTGAATTGCCTTTTAATCTGCCCATCTGCCTAGTTGGAGTGCCAGTGGCTTCTATTTTTGTGAAATAAGAGTGTGGGTTGGGCCTAGGTAGCAAAATAAAATGCAAAATTTTGCCAAGGTCCTGACAAGTTGTAAAGTGCAGGTAATTCAAGTGCCATTTTTTTGTTGTTGTTCAAAGGATTTTCATTGTTATAACACATAGTTTTTAAAATATGCAAACAATTTTTAAACCTGAAAAAGAAATAGATTTCAGAGGAGTGAGGCAAAGGAAGAGATTATGATTAGAGAAAGGAATTTTGAAATTCTTAATCATGAAAGTGGCACAGTTTTGAATGATGGTCTAGGGTATAGCCAGCCTTGTGGGTGGTCGAGGTAGAAGACAGATGGTAGCCATGGGAGTTAAGGAGACTGACAAACTGGGACACCAAGGTGTTCCCAGAAATGTAATGAATATTGATATCCTTGATGGTGATGTTACTGGGGTGGAGTGAGGTGGAGGAGGAAACCAAACTCTTTAAAGAAGAATGACCAGTAAATGAGTGTGATATTAACAGGGTGATAGAGACTGTTGGAGACAGTCTCAAAGGAAGAAAGGTTGCTAAACAGTGACAGTGGCATGAAGGTCTGGAAAGGGCAGGGAGGAGCAAAGAGTAGGCAGGGGACCATGAAAGAAGGAGCATCCAGACAAACGGGCCGGGGATGAGGGGTCATCCCAAGAAAACCAGGTTCCCACAAGCACAGGAGACAGCAAGAGCTCTGGAGTGGAGAAGGGGTGTTTGCTAAGTAGATGGTGGAGGTTCCATGGGACCTGGGGTGGGAGTGGGGGTGATTTGAGCTGAATAAGGGTGAAGAAAATGGTTAATGATAGCAGGAGAAAGGATTTTATTTTTCTGTCTCAGAATACAGCAGTCAGGGTCTATTGGCATTAGGAGAGCAGGAGATTGGAATTTGCTAACCTAGCCATAGGGCAGGAGAAAATACCACCGTTGTACCATGAAAAGGGGGCAGGAGTGGCATTGGGCAATAATCTGCTGGGGCTGCCACTTGACTTTTTGCTCCTCTCTCTCATGGCCATTGTTGTGCCTCAAGGTCTATGAAGGATAGTGAGTGTTAGGTTGAAACAAACCTATGTGGAGACAATCCTTGAAATTAAAAAAAAAATGTTGAAAAGAGTAAAATGGCGGAATCCAGACTATATGCATGTAGGTAATCTGCTAGCAACTACAAAGAATGTGTCCAGCAATTCCCTATTTATAAGGGCAATAGAGTAGCAGCAAACAATCCACAGGACAATCACCCAGATGTTTCCTTAAAGACAAAACACCTGTTTGGGAATAGAGGTTGATATGTGTTACTAGTTCATTTCATTAGTTCTGACAAATCTGTTCTATCTTGAATTTAATTACATGCCAGTCTTGCCAGGAACTTAGGGCTGTGAAGCAAGTATGGCCTTGGCCTCCATGTATTATATTTTTGTGATGTATAAAAAGTTTGAGAGATACCGTTTCTGGGTAATTAATCATTTTACTAATCATGCTAGCACATAATTAATAAAAGGCATCAGTGGCCCTCCCGAATGCCAAAGACCCCTCATGGATCCTATTCAGTACTTATATGCCCTTGGAAGAGCTGGTGTTCTGAGGGTGGCAATAGACTCTGATTGGTCAAAAGGTAATGAAAGAATGAATATTATAATGAGAGGTGAGCCTATTCTAATGAGGGGCTGAGGGACATGACTCTTGATTACTCCCACTCCTACTTCCAGCCTCAGGCAATCTAGCCTGCCTGAGTGGAACATAATGGTTCAGAATTCACTTTAGATTAAATTCTTTCTAAAGTTCTCTAGTTGGGTGGGGTAACAATTCCAAGATTTCATCTCATCATCTGCCCTGCACTGGAAGAAGTAAGTTTTGATCTAATCTCCAAGTGAGGAAGGGGAAAAAAATCCTGGATCTCCCAGTATTTGGTTAATAAGTAATCATTTCTCTCAATTTTACCCTTTGATGTTGAGGGAGATTTCCAGCCCTCGGTAGCGCTCAGTTGAAGGCCCACTGTGGGAGCTGGGGCAGGGCTATTCGGGGTGCTGGTCATCATATCTTTACTCAGACAATGGTCAGAGTCACAAGTCGTGGATGGCAGCTGAGAGGGCTGTATATTTTGGTTGTTTCTTCATGTTTCTGCAGCACGTGTCCAGGTTAAACGTGTGCTGGGGCGCTTTGCAAACAAGTTGCAGACAGATGGTTCTGAAATGATGAGGCAAACACGAAACAGCAGATCTAAATGTTTTGCCCATCTGTTGCTGCCGCCCCACCTTCTGCTCTGGATCACTGGATCACCAGAGGCTGTGCCTGGGCAGCGCTAAGCTGCTCAGCTCTGGATTTCCTGGAACCTTGTGTCCTCATTTTTATCCTGGCCATCTCTGCTCTGCCAACCCCCTTCCCACCTCCACCTGCCCTGTCATGCTCTGGGAACATTGTTTCAGCGAAGTGTGTGTTAGTGGACTTGACATCTTTGTGACTTTCCAGACCAAACTCCCTTCCCTGGACATCACTTCCCTTTGTATGTTGACTTAGGATGTAAGCTTGCTGAGGGCAGAGATGCCTCCATTTTATATTTGTATCCCTAGCTGTTGGCATAGTGCTTGGCACATACTAAATGCTTTTCATTCATTCATTCCAAGATGCAGAGCCACCAGATGGCGAACACTGAGCAACTACTGTTGATTAATGCATGTGTGTTTCACTTTAGATAATAGATGTTTCTGAAAAGTTTTATATCAGATCCACGTCATGTCAAACCAGACTGCATTTTAAATTTACTGTGGGCATAATGCACTACCAAGGAAACTCTGCAGTGGGAAAAGTGACGGTTTGGTGGAGAATCCTGTGGACAATTTACTTGCTTGGTTGAACAGGTTTTTTTAAAGCCAAACATGCAGACTTCTCTGAGGATGTCCTGCCTCAATATGTGCAGTTGGTCAGAGGTGGTGGGGCTCTATGCTCTTGGGATCTTTGCGGATTGGCCAGGCCAGTGAGCTCAGAATGTCCTGTTTTGTCTTTTAGCTGATTAAAAGGATGATAGAAGAAACCTCTAGTGGTGGGGTTACTGGCAATGATGTCATCATGCATTTCACTCTCAGCTCTTTGCCCTTCGGAGGAGTTGGTAAGTATTAAATCCAGTTACACAATGTACTTATTTTTAAAGCACCAAAGATAGTTCTTTCTATGTTTGATTCTCCACAGTTTTTATCCTCTAAAACTCAGTGATGCAGAGGACAGCTATGTATATGGGATTTTTAAAATATGGTGCATTGGTGCTGGCTATCAAAAATACAGTACTAATCCCGGTGGACCATTGTTCTATATCAGGGTGGCAATTGCTGGTGTTCTTAAGCCATTTTTTAGCATTCAGCCTGCCCCACCATGTGATGTAATGCCTTGCATGTGTTGCAGTTAAATCTATCCCTTTCCCAATTGATTTATCCATAGATTCATCAAGCAGGAAGAAGAAGGTGTCATTTTTTCCTCTGTCAAATGAGGGATTGGCCTCAGTGGCCTTGGAAGCCCCTTCCAGCTCTACATCTAGGACCCGGATATGTTGTCCAACCTTCTTCTTTTATAGATGAGGAAAATGTGTCCCAGAGAAGGGCAGTCACTTACCCAACCTCACCTCACTGGTTTAGGGGCAGATATAGGACTAAAACCCAGCTTTTGTATCACAATGACTTGTTTTCTTAATAATTTTTCCTAACAAAGTCATTTCTCCCTCTCTGCCTCCCTGATTTCTCTGATATTCTGTTTGAGTTTATCTGTTACTTTTGTAAAGGTAGTAAGAGTGAATGGGTATGTTACAGTCATTCATTCAGCAGGCATTTATTAAGAGTTTACAGTGGGGAAGGGAGTCAGGATGATGGAGTAACTGGTAGAAGTGCAGTGAACCCCACCTCAAACTCCTCCATACAGATCTAGAAAACTCAGCAGAACTAATCCTGATGGGGACAGTCAAGAAAGAATCAGAGATTCTGCGTGGAGGGAGTGAGAGTGAAGAGTCAGGGGTGACCCTGAGCCTTGGGCGATTTGGAACATTGTGGCACCTTCCACAGTAATGGGGGGGAGTTTTGGGGGAAAGGTGACGAGCTCAGTTCTGCACATGGTGAGTTTGAGGTGCCCTCGGGACATCCAGTTGGAGATATCCAAAACACAGCTGGTCATGTGTGACTATAGCTTAGGAAATAGGATGAACATAGAATCTGGGAATCCTTTGCCAAAGAGAGATGGTAATTAATCCACAGGAGCTGGAGAGATCAGCAGTTGGGAGAGTTTGAGAAGAAAAGGAGGCCCAAGACAGCCTTGGAAGGCCTCCAAAGTTACTGGATGTGACCTTGGTGCTTGAGCCTGTGTGTGTGTGTGTGTGTGTGTGTGTGTGTGTGTGTGTGTGTGTGTGTGTGTAAGATTCCTGTTATTTCCACCACCATTCCCTCTCCACCCTAAAGCAAGCAAGCAAGCAAACAGGTTTGTAATCCTGTCTGCCCCTACTATTGTTTGTTTTTCACGCTGTATTGTTTGTTTTTCATGATGTTTACTCTGCTCTGCATGTCCTAGAAGGTGCATGTGGGCTGGAAGGCTCCTAGGACTCTAGAGCCTGCTCTGGGAGAGACTGTGGAGGCTACCCAGTCCAACCCCCTGATTTTGTAGATGAGGCCACTGAGGTCCAGACCAGGAGGTTACTTGGTCTCAGTCACACAGGTAGTGAGTGTCAGAGCAGGGATGGGGAGCCAGGTCTGAACAGAGCATTGATGAGAGAGACTCAAACAGGCTGTGTGCTGACTTTATACTAAAAGCTCTGGTTTCTTGTTACAGAGTTTTTCTTGTAACAGCCTGGCAAGGTAGGTCATGTAAGTTTTATTTAATTATTAACTCTCATTTTACAGATGAGAAAACATTGTTCTAGGTTTTAAATGACTGGTCTAGTTTCTTATGGCAACTAGTAAGTGGCAGAGCTGAGAACTCTGTTGTGCCTTCTCTTCACTCAAAACATCATTCTGGCATGCTTCAGCATAGCCCTGCACAAACAGGTAGACACCAAACCTTGGGTGCCTAAGCAAACAGGCAGCTGCCAGTGCTTCAACATAGCCCTGGGCAAACAGACAGCCACCAGTAGCCAGATCCCCATATGCTTCAGTGTAGTCCTGGGGAAACACAGAAACACCCCACCAGCCTTAGCACATGCCAGACACCAGCATTAGGACCCCAGCTCAGAATCAGGTAAGCCGCCAGACCCCTATGGCCTCTAGTGCCAGCCACCCCCCCCAGCCCACCCCCTCAGCACAGCACCAGACACAAGGGTCCTCTGTGGGCCTCAGGGCAATATCAGTGCAACACCAGGTAAACAGCCAGGGCCTGCAACTCCTGGCACAGTAAGCCTGAGACAGTGCCCTTTCCACCCTGGGAGCAGAGCTCAAATTTAAAAGAAAGGAAAAAGGCCAAAAAAGGTGAACGAAAAACAACAACAAAAAGAATCTGACCAACGAAAGTTATTAGGGTGACAGGGAAGATCAAGACACAAACCCAGAAGAGGATGACAATGTCAAAACACCTACGGGCAAAGCCCCAAAGGAAAATGGGGAGTGGTCTCAAGCCCAGAAAGAACTCGTGGAAAAGCTCAAAAAGGAGCTTTAAAATCATATAAGAGAGGCAGAAGAGAAATTGGGAAAAGAAATGGGAGTAATGAAAGAGAATTTTTTGTAAAAAGTCAGCAGCTTGAAAAAGAAAATAACTGCTTAAAAAGTACAACTGATAAAACGGAAAAGGAAATACAAAAATCCGCTGAAGAAAACAACTCCTTAAAAAGTACAGTTGGTCAAATGGAAAAGGAAGTACAAATGCTAACTAAGGAAAACAACTTGAAAGTGAGAATTAGGCAAGTGGAAGCTAATGACTCTATGAGACATCAAGAATCAATCAAACAAATTTAAAAGAATGAAAAAAAATAGAAGAAAATGTGAAATACTTCATTGAAAAAACAATTGACTTGGAAAATAGATCCAGGAGAAACAATGTCAGAATCACTGGACTACCTGAAAGCCATAATCAAAAGGAGGACTTGGACAGCATCTTTCAAGAAATTATCAAGGAAAACTGCCCTGATATCGTGGAACCAGAGGGCAAAATAGGCATTGAAAGAATCCACCAATCACCTCAGGAAATAAGATCCCAAAATAAAAATTCCAGTGAACGTCATAGCCAAATTTCAGAACTCTCAGGTCAAGGGACAAATGCTGCAGGTGGCCAGAAAGAAATAATTCAAATATTGGGGAGCCACAATCAAGATTTAGCAGCTGCAACATTGAAGGATTGGAGGTCACGGAACATGATATTTGAGAAGGCAGAGGAGCTAGGACTACACCCAAGAATCACCTACCTGGCAAAATTAAGCATTCAAGAGGAAAAAATGGTCATTCAATGAAATAGAAGGATTTCAAGCTTTCATAAGGAGAAGACCAGAATTGAACGAAAAATTTGATCTCCAGCGTCAAGAGCCAAGAGAAGCCTAAAAAGGGAAAAGAAAACATAAGGGATTCAGTGGAGCTGAACTGTTTACATCCCTACATGGGAAGATGGCACTGGTAATCCTTAAAAACTGTACTGCTAATAGTACAGCTAGAAGGAATATATATAGACAGAAGGCATGGGGATAAGGTGAATTTGAGGGAATGACATAAAACAAATAAGGGATGAGAAAGAGGAGTTTACTGAGTGCATAAGAAAAGGAGAGGTAGAATGGAGTAAGTTATTTCACATGAGGATTCATGAAAAACCTATTACAATGGAGGAAAAGTTAGAGGGTGGGCGATGAGCGTCGCTTGAACCTTACTCTGATCAGTATTGGCTCAAAGAGGGAATAATATACACAATCAGTTGAATATAGAAATCCATCTTACGCAACAGGAAAGTAGGGGAGGAGGAGATTAAGTAAGGGGGAGGGGTGAGGAACTGACAGAAGAGAAGACAGACTGGGAGAAGCGGTAGACAGAAGCAAAACACTATGGAGGAGGAAAGGGTGAAAGGAGAAAGAGGACAAACAGGAGGGAAAATAGAATGGAGGTAAGTTGGTCTAGCTATACCAGATCTTGAACTGTATGATAAAGCAGTAATTATTAAAACAGTCGGTGCTGGCTAAGAAACAGAGTGGTGGATCAGTGGAATAGATTAGGTACAGATTACATTATAGTTATAGTACACAGTATATTACTATAATTTACATTATAGCAAATGACCATAGTGATCTAGTATGTGATAAGCCCAAAGATCTAAGTTTTGGAGCAGAAACTCATTTTTTGACAAAAACTGCTGAGAAAACTGGAAAACAGTATGGCAGAAACTAGGTATAGACCAATATGTCACACGGTAGACCAAGATAAAGGTCAAAATGGGTACATGATTTACACATAAAGGGTGATACCATAATCAAATCAAGAAAGCACAGAATAGTTTACCTGTCAGATTTATGGATAAGGGAAGCATTTAGGACCAAAGAAGTTATAGAGGGCATGACAAAATGTAAAATAGAGAATTTTGATTATATAAAATTAAAAAGTTTTTGCACAAACAAAGCCAATGCAACCAAAATTATAAGGAAAGTGGCTAATGTGACAAAAATGAAAATGTTAGATGTTGGTGGGCATGTGGGAAAACTGGGATACTAATGCACTATTGGTGGACTTGTGAACTGATCCAGCCATTCTGGAGAGTAATTTGGAACTGTGCCGAAAGGGCTACAAAACTGTGTATACCCTTTGACTCAGCAATACCATTGCTAGGTTTATATTCCAAAGATATCCCAAAAAAGGGAAAAGGACCCAAAAAATATTTATAGCAGGTTTTTTTGTGGTAGCTCAAAATTAGAAATCAAAGGGATGCCCATCAGTTGGGGAATGGCTACGCAAGCTGTAGTGTATGATTGTAATGGAATATTATTGTGCTATAAGAAATGACAAGCAGGCTGACTTCAGAAAAACCTGGAAAAACTTACATGTGCTGATACATAGTGAAGTGAACAGAACCAGGAGAATGTTGTGCACAGTAACAGCAATATTGTTTGACAAAGAATTGTGAATGACTTAGCTTTTCTCAGCAGTACAGTGATCCAGGACAATTCCAAAGGACTAATGAGGAAGCATACTATCTACCTCCAGAGAAGGAACTGGTGGTGATTGAATGCAGACTGAAGCAGGCTATTTTCACTTTCTTTCATTTTTTTTCTTTTATTCAAGTCTTCTTGTACAAAATGACTAATGTGGAAATGTTTTACATAATTGCACGTGTGTAATCTTCATCTGATAGCTTACTGTCTGAGGAAGGGGTAGAATTTGGAACTCAGAACTTTAAATAACAATTAAAAAATTGGAAAAAAAAATAAATTGAATAGTGTCCATCTTCCAACTGTCATTTGTCAGTTCTTAGGCCCTGCCACTCTGGTTTCCAACCACCTCCTGGGAATTTCGTCATAGTTGAAACATGACCTCCAATTGGAGTAACATGGATCTACCATAATTCTACAGAAAACAGCTTCCAAGCCAGACTTTCTGTTAGCTGTGAATTAAGGACTCCATGAGTACAGTTTCCTCCGAGCCCTTGAGAAAAAACATCTCATTTCACTGCCATTTCTATAATAATGATCATTCCACTTGCCATTTGTTTTCATATTTCAACTCTCTCACAGACTATCTCAGTTAATCCTTAATGCAGTCTTGTGAAGTAGGCAGAAAAGATTTGAATTTATCCCCATTTTAAACATAAGAATTTCTCTGCAAGTTGCCTCATTGCAACTCAATTCAGTCATACTCTAAGCTCCTCGAAGGCAGGGGTCATATCCCTGTCTTGTGTATTGTGCTCAGGACTGGATTTTGCACACTGTGGATGTTCAAGAAATGCTTGTTAACTCATGGTTGTTTTTTTCCTTGGATTCTAGGTAATAGTGGGATGGGTGCATATCACGGAAAACACAGTTTTGACACCTTCTCCCATCGCCGATCATGCCTAATAAAGAAGTTAAAGATGGAAGGAGCCAACAAGCTCAGATACCCACCAAATAGCCAGTCCAAGGTAGACTGGGCAAGCTTCTTCCTCTTGAAACGCTTCAACAAAGTCAGAATTGGTCTCTTCTTTCTGGCTTTTCTGGGTATCCTAGTCGCTATAACTGTAAAAGTGAGTATTCTTTCCTTGTTATAAAATGATAGTTGAAGTCTCATTTTTTCCTTTAAATGACTGGTGAATCTCTTATTTTTCTACTTTTTCAGGGTGGCTTTTTGGTCTATATCTCATGTTTTCTTATTGTAAGCATATTAAAACTTTTAGAGCTTTAAAAAAATGGGCAGAGGTTGGCATTCTGAGCCTTTTGCTCTTATGTGGATTGAAATCTAAGTCAAGTTGAGGCTCTAAGGATAAACTGCATTAGTCAATTAACAGACATTTATTAGGCGCTTCTGATTATGTGCTAGGTGATTGGTTTATACAGGATAGATGGAGTAGATCCAGAAGGATCTTAGAAGGGAAGGCAGAAGTAGCTGCACACAGAGGCACGTGAGCTGAGTCTTGAAGGAATTCGGATGCTAGGAAGATAGGAAAGGGCCAGGTTGTGAAGAGCTTTAAATGCCAGATGGAGACATTGATATTTGACCAGAACAGCTGCAGTCTGAGTGGGAAGGAGGGGGACAATGACATGGTCAGACCCACACTTTAGGAAAATTGCTTTGGCAGCTGGGGAGAAGATGGTTAGGATCAAGGAGACCATTAGAGAGCCCAGATGTGAGGTGACGAGGGCTGATACAGGGTGGTAGCAGTATCAGAGGAGAAATGTTGGCAAGGTGGTAACTCAGGAGAGAGCAGTTCTAGTAAGCCAGAGAGAGATGAGCTTGGAAGCCAGACTGCAGAGGGTTTAGAAGAGAGCAAAAGGAGAGGAAGTCAAGTCACTGATTGTAAACAGCTCTAGACTCATGTGACAGCAAGAGCTGGAGACTTTGTTGTAGTGAGGGCTAAGGATGGGAGGGACCGAGGCATGTTTGTAGGCAGTGAGGTGGGGCAGGGAGGGGGATGTGGGAGGGGGAGCCAGGAGAGAGATACTGATCTGAAGACTGGAAAGAAAGGAGGGCACCAGCTTGGGTGGTCTGCTAACAGAGATGAGAGGAACTGGCTTTGGCAGAAAGAGCCCCCCACCATCACAAATTGGAGGGAAGGAGCTATTAAATATAGTGTTAGGGGAATGGGAGACCAGGAGAGGGAGAGAAGAGAGAGCCCAGGTAAATAGCCTTAATTTTGTGATGTGGTGAAGTCCTGAGCTGGGTGTGGTGGGGGGAGGTGCATCCAGATTGGCTGTGCAGGTAATGATCCTATCATCAACAGTTTTCATTTCGGCAGTTGAAGTAGGGGAGAGCTGTATTCTCAGCTGAGTAGGATTAGCAGAGGAATTCATGGAAGAGCATATCATGGCTTGGCAAGTGGCTTTGGTGAGAGATAGCTAGTCAAGCGTGTGACTGGATGGGATGGATATCCTTTCTCTTTCATGGCCTCTCTGTCTCTGTCTCTCTCAGTAAGGCTTGATTTGGATCACACTCTTTGTGACTGTAGTAGCGGGTGCCAGAAGCATCAGCGGACAGCCGGTCTGTGCTACTCTGTGACCTCGAGGGCTTGGGGGGAAGGGTGGCTGGAGGGAAGCAGACCCGGTGCAGGGTCAGAGCAGGGAGAAGCATGTCTGTGACCAGACTGGTGGAGGAGAAGGCTGGAGAGCATGAAGATGACCATCTCAGTGATAACTCAATGTTTAATAGATTTCTATTTCTATTTGTGTGTGTGTGTGTGTATGTGTATAATTCTGAAAGACTTTTGACTTCCCTCACCCCACTGTACCTTTTTGGGAGTGAGGGATGCAAGTTGCATTTTGAATCATTTGGGTCTTCTCAGAAATACCAAGCTGTGCTGAGGAGAAAGGCCCTGTTGATTTTTCTGGTAATTCACAGACTTCATTGGTCCAATAAACAGTGAGGAACGGCGGATTGCCAAAGGCAGCACTATTGGTTAAAGAGAGGTAGGAATTCCTTGTTTCTTTTTACCCATGTTGGGCAGGGAGGGGCCTCCTCTTAGCTCTAGACTCATTGCACTGGGGCTTGGCCCTTATAGTCAGATTTTCAACTTAATTACAGACTATTTTTTTTAAACAACATAGAAAATAAAAATTAAATTTGCAAAGATAATGTAGAATATGTGTGGGGGCAGCTAGGTGGCATTGTGGATAGAGTACTGGCCCTGGATACAGGAGGATGTGAGTTCAAATCTGGCCTCAGATACATAACACTAGCTGTGTGACCCTGGGCAAGTCACTTAACCCCCATTGCCCAACCGAAAAACAAAAAAAGAATACGTGCACTAGTATACCACTGGGCACCTCCAGGTACCAGGGATCAGAAGGGCTGTGGGGCAGCAGGCTGGAGGGAGGCCCTGGCCCTGTAGTGGTGCTCAGCTACCCTTCCGTTAGCCTTTCTAGGGGGATGGATGTACACATAGGAACAGACATTACTGCTTATTTTTCATTCCAACTCAATTTCTTGCCCCCTTTTGAATTGTGCTATGATCCTGACTGCAGTTGGGGTAATCTGTTCATTTGGGAAACTGCAGTTAGGAAGGCTGCAGGGGCTCATTCGGTGACTGTAGGAGCAGCTGTCGTCCTCTCCCCCTGGGTCTCCCTCATGCAGACTCAGTGTCCCAGTCTCACCGGTAACTTGTTGTCCACAAGGAGTCTAGAGGAAAGGAGCAGTAGGGTTCCCACGTTCTTGTGGCCTTCACGCTGGCCTGCTCGCGGTGCAGCCGCACTGTTGGCACCAGTCTAGTTTTCTTCCAGAGGACCTGCCTCAGTTTGCCCAACTCATTTCTTTCCCACACAAGAGATGCAGAGTGGTTTAGTGGGAAAAGTCCTGGCCTGGGAGCCGGTGGTCTGAGTGCTGATCCTAGCTCAGTTCCCATCCTGCTTTGTGACTCTGGGTGAGTCCTTGCACTTTCTGGGCTTCCGTGTTCTTCCTTGTCCCATGAGGGGCATAGCCTGGATGATTCCTCCAAGGTCTCATTCCGTGTTAACATGCCGTGGTTCCATTAAAATCGCCCACTGTGCCACTTGTGAACGGCTAGTCTGGAAGCTGGCTGATGGCTTGTGCTTTCTCACAGCCTTGCTCCCTCCTTGGATGTTCAACTTTTCACCCTTTTCATCCTGTCGCTTACTTTGAACAAATGAATTGGGCTCAGAGATTGTCTCTACTCTATTTCCCCTTCTGCCTTTATGGCGGTTTCTCATTTTTCCATAATTATTTTTCTGGAGTTCATTTTCACCCGCTTAGGCATACACTTTAGTGGGTTTCACTTCAGGCCTTTTCAGTCGGTGGAGCGGGCTAGAGTGCTCTGAACAAGAAATGTAAAGTGTACAGAAGCTGGAATAGATCTGTTTGAGCCTTTTTGATTATAAAAGGGCTCTGCTTTGGGCCTCGAAGGCGCGAATTAGGGTTAGTTAGTCCTAGACATGTGTTTTGAATTGTAAAAACAAGAATTTCTCATTTTAAAGTGTTTCAGTTGAGAAGGACAGGGGCAGTTTTTCAGTTATTGGTATGGACTGGTTCAGAGAGGCAAAGGTCCTGGGGTCACTTCCCCATTGGATCTAACCTCTGACAGCTGAAAGGAAACTCAGCCTTGGGTTTCACTGAAAAACATAAAACCAACACATTTTCTAGAGACATTTTGGCCTTATTTGAAAAATATTTTTAGATCCTCTTAAGAAAGGCACTACGTGGTGGAATGTCATCGATAAACCCTTGTTTTGAGATTACTAATTTAGTAGTTTATTTCCTTATTCAAAACAATAAATTAACCCTCATCTCTCTTTTCTCTTTACAGTTTCAATACTGCTAAAGATGGCTGAGGTTCAACTTGCAAGTTGTCTTTACTGGATTTCTACTTTTGTTCCTTGATTCATGAACAAATTGATTCCTGTTAAAAAATATTAATATAAAAGTGCAAAGATGATTACCTTAAAGCAGACTACTATTTTTCTCCTAAAAACCTGCCATTTCAGTCACATCTCCAATTCTTCTAGCAACTGGGCCATTTGAGGTAAATATTCCAGGCTGAGTTTGAAGGAGAAAGGGACGCTTTAGGTGGGACTCTTTGGCTCCTGGCCTCCTTCCCTCTCAGCCCCGCCCCCATTCCCAGGCTCCATTGGAATGTAAGAGGGGGCAGGGTGTGGGGAGGGCCTTTGAAAGAGTTCCTCCACCCCTTGGAGTCCCTCCTGGCCCTTTTGTGTGGAGCCTGGTCTTCCTCAGTAGAGAAGCAAAGTGCCTTGTAATTCCACATGATGCCAGGTTAGAGGAGGGACACAGAAGTTCCCATTTGGTACACTCAGGTTTTGAGGGCATTAGAACTGCAGCCAGTAAAGAGGCCCAGAGGAATGCAGGGAGCTTTAAACTTGGCCACGCTCAGAGAACTCAGTCGTTGTCTTGTTTGTGAACACAGGTATCCTTTACAAAGTAAACGACTAAGTTTATTTCACAGTTGAGGTCTTCACAGAGAACAGTTGTCCATAATTTGTCTCCTGTCATATTTTGTGTTTTACCTGGGAGCGGTCTGTGCCATAGCTAACTCCGGGCTTTTGGCAGCCAGAGTTAATGCATAGGCCTTCAGTGAGGCTGCCAGCTCCCGAGGAGGGGCCATCGACACCACTGAGGGCAGCTTTTACTTATCAGTCCTGCTTTGTGGAATCCTCAGTCGAGCTGCTTTTTATGCCATTAAAAAAGCCCCTTTCCCTCAGATCCAGCTCCCTAGCGCTGGTATTTGTGAACAGAGGTTTGACAAACTGAGACAAGTTTAATCTCTATTTTCAAGTTATGTATGCCCAAATGCAAGCAATTTGTGCTTTATAATGTGTTTTAAGGCCAAATTTCCATCTTTCTAAAGAAATTCAAAGTGTAGAATTTGAATAAAGTGGAACACCAAATCATTTTACTGAAACTGATGCCTTAAACAGAAGGAATGTTCAGGCTGGAGGACATCATGTGGCGGGTGACAGCCCAAGTCAGAGCCGTGTTTAATGTTATAGTGTCCCACCTCTAGTAGACACCATCAATAACCAGCCCGGTCAGTGAGGAAAGAGAATTCCAGAAGCCAGGAGGATGAAATCTGAATCCCCAGGCATGAGGGAGAGTGTGGGGTCAGGAGATAAAGAGCATCAACCTTGACGCCGGGCTCAGGAAGAGTGGCAAGGAGGACTAACTCTGCGCCTACCGACATACCAAGCTTGTGTGGGCGTGCGATGGTAAAAGACTGCCACGCTACATGACTCAGGATCCCATGGCACTAGCCACCCTTGCATGGAAGCCCTTGCATGCTTAAGAAATGTCAACTGACTTTATTGAGGAGATTTTCTTCATCTGAATACATCTTCAAATTTAAAATCTTAAATCAATAGTGATCTTAGGGGAGGAATGAAAATTCCCTTAGAGGCTTACTTCATTGACCACTTTGCTGGACTGAATCTATTCAGGCATAGATATCATCTGCTGGTGAAGTTTCATGTACTACAGGTAATCATTAGCTTGCTTTAGGGAATAGAACTGGTTAACTAAATGGTGACTTTTAGTCAATTACCTTAACGATGTTGGACAAGGGCTTTAAAACTGTTTTGACTCAGCGTATCAAAATTATGTGTTGTGTTTGCCTTTTTGGTGAAACTTAACAGCTGCCTGGTTACTAGTTTAAAATCTTTATTATAATTAATAAAATTGAGATGAATTTTAAATAGTACTCAAGATCTTTGTTTTTCTCCCCTTAGCTGAGAACCTTGGAGGCACTGAGATTATGAGGAAACTGGCTGTAAATGTCTCCCAGCTGTAGGCTTATTTATGAGACACACCTAACCCAAGTGTTTCTATTTTCAGCAAAGTAACTGGTCATTGTATAGTAGGACATGATAGTCATATTTCTGTCATAGGGCAAGGAGACTCAGTATCTTTTAAAACTCTTTCTGTAAGTCTGTGGACGTGGGGGACATTGTTTAATTTGTGCAGTGTGTCCCAAAAGTCAGCTGTCAAAGCTGAAAGCTATCCCAAGACCTTTGAGGCACTCTGTATTTGCATTTGTTCTGCTTGTTGGGATGTGCGTCTCGCTAAAGCCTGGGAGGAAATCCTGCAGCAGTGCTGGCCTAAAGCTGGGCAGCTTTCTCCTGAACCTTGGACACATCACCTTGCTTCTCGGGGCTTTAGAAGCTCGCTTTGAGGGGGAAGGGGGACTTTATGTTCTCTAAGCTGCCCTAGATTCTGCTCAAGATACCCCTAAAAGACAGTATCAGTCTTTCGTTGTGCCCTTCGTATTCCAAGACGTGGGACAAAGCTAGGACTTTAAACAAGCAAAGTGCATTTAGGCCAAGCCTGAAATAGGGTTCTTGTGGCTGAAGGTGGTCTGCAGCTGACTGACAAGTCCTCACTGCTCTTGGTACATCATCATGGCTATGAGGAGAAAGAGATGGTGGCAAAGACTTCAGAGAGTTTCTGACGGACCGTGTGATTAGAATACTTCTGAATGAGATTTCCGAAGAGAGCATTCCCAAGACGCCCCCCTTTCGCCTCCCCCCCAAGAGTATAGTTGCATGGAACAAAGCATCCTGAGCACCCATGTGGTGTGGCAGGGCCTTCCCGGCCTGCAAAGTGTGGCCCAGGAGCATGTAAACAGCCACGAAAAGACTTTACAGATGAACCCAGGCAGCAGAGCATCTCCTGCAGAAACGGTTTCTTTAACTTGGTGACTAGTGTGTTCTGGAGCAAAATATTTGTAATTTGAACTCATTCGTGCTTGGAGATAGCTTTGAGAGTTCTCAAGATTTCAGTTCCAGTTTGGTAAGTATTTTCAAATGAGCAGTTCAAGTTTGAGGAATGGAGGCAGTTTCACTTTGACATTCCCTCTGACCACAGCAGACCTATTTGGAAGCCCAACCTCCTGCAAGCCAGAAGTAAAGTTTTTTGGGTTCCCATGAAGCACTAATGGACACCAGCATTTACAAAGAAGAGGTTTTCAGTAACTCAGGATATCGCCCATCTTCCTGTAGAATGTCCCAAGGCCACTCTTCTAAGATGGCTCGGTTTCCAGTAGGGCAGATCTTGCTACTGCTTGGTAGTCATGAGCCTGACCATGACCCCTAGAATCAGCACAGTGATAGAGACCAGAAGAGAAATTCCCCGGCGGACAGCCAACTGCTTTAGTGATGGCCCATTGTAGGCAGCAGAAAAGGTGGATGTTGCTTCCAGAGGTGGTAAGAGGTCTGCCTGACTCTCGGTTTTTGAGTACCTCGTCAAAATAATTCCAGGATTGCTACCTGTAGCCACTGGGGAAATGAACAACCCAAAAACAGGGTCATAAGTAGCAGAGCAAAATGGAAAAGGCATTGAACTGAGAGTCGAAACACCAGGGTTTGAGTCTGAGCTCTTCTGTTTAGGAGCTATGGGACCTTGGGCAAGTGGATTCACCTCTGAGCGTCAATCTCCCCATCTGAAAAATGGGGAACGCGAAAACTATAAGGAGCTGTGGCTTTCTCAGTGTGGCTACCTAACTTTGTTTTTTTTAACCGATGAAAAGATCCTAGTTCCTTCGTGCTTTGATGGCCAGTCATCATAACTGAAAAATGTGCTACCTTGATGGCCAGCTCTCTGGGTCATGAGCTTCTCTGCATTCAGCTGTGGTGGTCATTGGGTGACAGATACAGTCACCCCTACTCCAGAGCTTTCCAACCTGGGTAGGACCCATGGGAGCTTACACTTAGTTGACATAGCTGTCAAGAACCCAGAGCCACCTCCACATCTTCACGAACCATGGAAAGAGGACTTTCCTGGAAGATGGGACTTTCAGGTGGCCATCAAAGGATATTATTTGCTTTGAAAAGCAAAAGCAGTCTACAAATGGAAAAGTTCTGAGTTTCATAGATTCAGAGCCAAAAGGGATTATGGAGGCCTCCTAATCCAGCATTCACTTTACAGTTGAGGACACTAAGGCTCCTTGAGGTGCATTGACTTGCCCAAGGTCACAAATAATAGGTGTTGTTACTAAGAGTAATTTATATCTGAACACGGCACTGAAATGGGATTGACATGAAGACATTGGAAGAGGTGAAAGGTCTTCATTTTCATCATTGTGAACAGCTACCTCTACCAAGGAGATCATAGTCCACGTTTGACTTAGTAGGTAAATTCTAGAGAGTTACTAGAGCACGCAGAGTTTAAAAGATTTACCAAAGGTCTCATTCCTAGTAAGAGGCCAAGATTCAGGCCCAGGGCTTGCTGACTCCACATCCCACAGGTATCCACTAAGTCCTAGTGCTTCTCTATATGTACACTTTTAATTTTATACGTGTTGCTATGGAAACTTCTTATTAATTTCCTATTGGTCTGTGTTGCTATGATTGGTGCTATCCAAGCTCCCTTGGGAACTTATGGTGTAGGACATAAAATAATGCATGTCCTTTGGGTATTTAGCTGCTGCCTAAGTAGAGCACAGCTGAATCCTGTTGTAGCCTGGGATGCTGTCCCGTGGTTGGTTAGGACAACACATGACCACACCCAATAAGATCTTCTACCAAGCTACTGTTCATCACCCCTCGGCCCAAGCACGCTGAAACACTCACTGATACCTGTTGTCGAGGGATGCCATTGTACCCATATGGTCCAAGGAAAGAGGTGAGGGAGACCCTAACCCTGGCAGTGCAGCAGGAAGGGTTGATTCATAGTTGATTCAATCTGATAGAAATGGCAGGGGAGATGCAAAATCAGCCTGTTTTTAAACACTGACTATCCCAAATGCACACATGCATATGCACACGTGTATGCGCGCATACACACACACACACATGCATGCACACAGTCAAGGATCAGTGGCCACTCTCAATTGGCTTGGCATGTTTGACTTGCAAAAATTAAAGACATATTGACATTCTGTTTTTTGAGAATAAGAAGCAGTAAGAGTGTTACCTGAGGAAAAGGCCACCTTCTTTAGCCCATGCCCAGGGCTCGCGCTCTGGGACTCTTGGTGAACGCCGGCACGTTTCTGAGCCTAGTGATTAAATTGCACCAGTGTTAGTCAGCTAGTGACCTCTGTCTTCCCCTCTTCCCATCCCATAACAATCACAAGAGTATGTCCGTGTGGCTAGCTTCTTAAATACTTGTCTTAAAATGTATAAGGCAGATTATGTAGGTATCATTATCCCCTGTTTAGGTGAAGCTGTGAGACTTAGATTAGGGAACTGGCCAGTGATCACGCAGCTGTTAATAATAATACATAAGGCCTCAGAAGGGATGGGGGAAAGGATGTTCAGAGAGATGGGGCATGTGCCAGGGGAGTGAGACAGGGCTTAGTGTTTGGAAAGATGAGTTGGACTGAAGCTGTCTGTCCATGTACCCTCCACTGCATCTTTGTCAGAGCTCATAGACTCAATAAACCACTTAGATACTTTCAGGTTTCCTCTTGTGTTATCCAGTGACCCTTGAGGGAGCCACATTGGACAGGAGGGTCCAGGAAGTAGCAAAAACCAGAGCATGTGAACCTTGAAGTCACCTTGGGAGGTCATTTCTTCCATCCTCCTGCCTTTAGACAGAGCTCTTCTTAAACCTTATTTAACAGGTACCTATCCTTCCTTCAACTTGTCAGAGACGGCGTATCTCATGTGGTCACTTCTCCCGATGCTAAGGATCCGGGATCTAGCACCGGAAAGGTAGCGGTCACCCAGTCTGACTGACTCCTAGACTATGAGCCTCCCTGAGGGCAGGAACTGGAGCTTATTTGCAAGGGCTTCTGCAATGCCTGCACGTAGTGGGAATTTAAGGGGAGAAAGAGAAGTCAGTGGGAAGACCACCAGACTTGTGCTCAGAAGAGCCGGACTTGTATCCCAGCTCTGTGACCCTGGAGGAGTGATTCAATCTTACTGCACCTCAGTTTCCTCATCTGTAAAATGAGGTCGGACTAGGTGCTCCCTGAGCCCCTTTCCAGCTTTAATTCAAGGATCCTATGAAACTGAAATTGAAGTTGTTGCTAATTAAAGTTTGTCGAATAAAATGAAGATAAAGGAAGCCCAGGCATTCAGCAGCTAGCTGGCTTCTGCCAGACTTCCTTTTCTAGTTTCATTGCTCATGAAATTTAACTTAACAACACTGTTATTTGTCTCCTTAGACCACTCTGCTGGGAACTAGGGGATGTGTGATTTTAGGTAAGACACAAGAGGCAACTCCCACCTTCAAGGAGCTCACTCTGTAGGGGCAGAACAAGACACAAACTCAGGTAACTAGTAAAGAATATTACAAGGTCAATCTACTGGGGGGAAGGGCATAGAAAAAGTACAAAGTGGCTACAGGAGACCTGAGCCTGATGGAGAATGTGGGGATCAGGGGAACTTGCTGGAAGATGAGATAGGCCTCTTCTGAGCTGCGTTTTAAAGGCTAGAGAGGAATTTAATAGGTGGAAGAACCCACAGCACAGGCTCAGGGATGCAAGCAGTGCAGTTGGGTTGGATTGTAGCGTATCAAAGGATGCCCATTTGGCAAGGCTAGAAAGCTGGTGGGGTAATAGATAACATGACTTTGAAAGTCAAACAGGAAGTTAAACTCTTCTCAGCAGGCAATGGGGAGCCACTGAAGATTTTTGAGCCCAAGAGTGACATGACCAGGTCCATGCATTCAGGAAGATTAATCCAGAGGTCACATGATGTACTGATTGGCTGGAATGAGGCTCTGCTGCCATCCTTGTTCCCCCTCCCCTCCGATTGGGGGGGAGCCACCCCTCTTCACAAGGGAAGAACCCATGACCGTCTCCCCAACCTTCATGTCCCCTCCCTGATCCATGCCAGGGTCCACTGTGCCTGTCTGGGAAAATAAGTTGTATCATCCTATTCTGCACATTAGATACTTCCTCCATTCAAAACACACCGGGAATACTTTCTCATGGAACCTACTCTTCTTACACCTAAAGAAACCAATAGCCCAAGGAGGCAATTCATCTGTACTCGCTATGAAATACAGCAGATAGCTTGGAACATGACTGACTGGAGGCCGTGATCAGTTTTCTGGAAAGTCCTTGAGGCCATTTCAAAGGAGGTGGGTAATCCACGGGGGAGGATAGAATCTGTTGGCCCTGGAATGACCTACAATGGACTGGGAGCTCCACGGGCTCTCTGCCAGACTCCACCCAGCAACAGAGGCAGTAAGTCACTGGTCTGCTTCTCTTTTCCCCTTCCAAATACGAGTGCCTATTATGAATGTCACTGTGTTCCCAGCATGATACATTCTATCAAAGCACCCCCTGATTACCTGCTCTGCAGCCAGCTTCCAGTTAATCCTGGCGGTGTAGAAGATGAAGGTAATGGTTGCCAAGATAACACAGACCAGCATCCCCAGCCAGAGGCCTGCAAGAAAAAAAACTCATGGGAAATGGCACTCAGTGGTACCCCCAACCCCTTTACCTACTTGCTTCATCAGACATTTCTCATACCTATGACTCCAATTTTAACCACAAATACCAACACGGCCCCAAGTGGGAGACCAATACCATAATAGCTTATGGCATTCACAGTAGCCCCAAAAACGACCCTGCCGGTTCCTCTCAACACTGCGCTGCAAACACACTGTTGGGGAAACAAAAGGGAAGGATTGGGAAGTTAGCAATGTAGAAGGGTGATCTAGTCCTCATTTTACAGATGAGGAAACTGAGGCCCAGTGAGGTGTGGGGGACCTCCGATCTTCGGATGGTAGAATGGAGCTCAGAAACCATCTAATCCATCCCCGTCGTCTTACAGTGAGGACACAAAAGCTAAGGTCACCCAAGTAGTAAGTAACAGCTGGAATTTGGACAGCATCTTGGTTCTAAATCCAGGAAGCTTTCCACTGCCCCAGGAAAGGACAAATGAAGCCTTAGAATGAGCCCCAGGGAAGTAATTACAATAATAATGTTGATGACAATAATAGGCAGGCATTATAAGGCTCTACCTACAATATCTCGCTTAAATCTCACATCCAACCTGTGAGGTCAATGCTAGAGGTAGTTTTGTACCCATTTTACAGAAGAGAAAATGGAGACAGGGATTATTTATTTAGCCTAGCTAGTGTCAGAGCTGGGACTTGGCACAGGTTGATTGGGTTAATCCTTCCCTCAGCCATTGACCAGGATCCCTGGGCAGAGAGCTGGCCCTAGTTTTGAATTATTGGTAGAGCAGGGGAGAAAGCTTCCATCCTCCCTGGCCCTTGAGGTTCAGGAGTCAGGGAGAGGGGGCTTTCCTTCAGTACACACACTCTCTCTGTGTGGCTTGGGGGAGCAGCAAGAGAGAAGCAAAGCTGAGGAGGGGGTTGGGTTTGGAAGCTTCCCAGAGGAGGCCTTGGGAAGAGGAGGAGAGAGGGGGAGAGGAGGAAAGGCCACCTGCCTGGGATGGTTTGAGGAGGAAGGGAGGTGGCCCAAAGCTCAGGAATATACTTACACAGAGTGACTCAAACAGGTTATAGACAATATAGACAGGCATGATCCAGCTCACCAGGGCATTGACTTCTCTGCAAGAGGAATGGGAAAAGACCATTCGCTGAGGGCTATCAAACTGTGTGCTCAGCATCCAGATTACACCTGCCCTGCCCACTGAGAAGCATTGATAAGAGAAAGAAAGTTGAGACATCCAGGTGAGACATGCCCCCATAAGTGTGTGTACATATATACGTGCATATATGTATGAGAGATATACACACATATCTGAGAGACAGGGAGACAGAGACAGAGAGAGACAGGAGAGACAGAGACAGAGGAGAGAGAGATAGAGAGAGACAGACAGACACAGAGGAGAGACAGACAGACAGAGAGATAGAGAAAGAGAGAGACGAGAGAGAGAGACAGGCAGGCAGGCAGAGAGACAGAGAAGAGAGAGGGACAGAGAGAGACAGAGGGAATCACAGATCCAGGTCCTTTCTCTGACGTCCTATACTTACTTAGGTGTGAACACACATGTCTCTAGTAGAAGAGAAGCTGAGAGGCAGAGACTCTCATTGTTTGTACCCCGGGGCTGAGCACAGCCTAGGCACTGACCCATAGAAGATATTTAATAAATGCTTGTTCATTGGTTGACAGGTTTTATATGCTCTAGGTAGAGCACAATCTTCTTGAAGAGGAGACTGTCCCATTTTGTCCTCCCGCATTAGAATGTGATCTTCTTGAGGGCAGGTGCTGTATTTTTGCCTTTCTTTGCATTCCAAGCATTTTTCACTTTGCCAGGCACATAGTAAGTACTTAATGAATACTTGTTGACTGACTGAGTGACTGTATTGATATCCCCCAAACCTGACAGGATCTGACACACAGTAAATGCCTAAGAAATGCCTTTTGACTACCTGACTATATATCCCCAAAACTTAATAGGACCTGGCACGTAGTAAGCACTTAATAAATGCATGCCACCTGTATTTGTATCCCTAGAACTTAACAGTGCCTGGCACTTAATATGGGCTTTCTGAGTGTTTGGTGGATTGACATCTCCATTCCCACTCCAGACACCAGCCAACACACCTTAAAATGTCAGAGACAGAGAGGCAGCCAGACATGCACCTTTAGTGTGCATACATGAAGATGCCTCAAGGAGCCCTGCCAGAACTAAGTAGGGACCCATGTAGGGTGTTCGCTCAGGGGTGTAGGGATATCGATTACCTACTCATCATTGGTAAAAATCTTTCCCAGGACATCCTTGAAGATGCCTAACAGGGAGCCAATGACAAAAAACAGGGCAACTGAAAAGGAGAGACAAGAAAAGAAGCATTAGAAGTGGTCCCACCAGGCCCCAGCCTCCCCTTCCCTTTAGTGCTGACAGTCTCTGGGATATTTTTCTCTTTGGGCTAGCTTTCCTTCAGGGCATTTGCCATCACAAAGGGGGAAAAAATGACACTTGGCTTAGTGTATGGGACTGGGCCACTGCTCTTCCAGAATCATTTTCACTGTGCACTGTTTGCCCCCAAAGGGAGGGAAAGGCAGTTAAGATGCCACCTCCTCCATGAAGCCTTCCATGATTACTCTCCCCCTCAGATTTCCCTCAAGCACTCTGCTTGGGTCTCTCCTTTGTTCCCAACACACTCTACCCTCAATGGATCATAGACTGAGTAGGACAAGATGGGCTGGGGGGCAGTAGCTGTGTCTAAACAGCAATTCCTCTGAAAAAAACCTGGGGGTCTACAAAGTCAATGACATGGTGGCTTAAAAAAATAGCATGCTCTTGGGCTGCATTAATAAAGCTTGGAAGGTACCTCAAAGGTCATCTAGTTCAGTCCCCTCATTTTACAGACAGTAAGACTGAGGCCTGGAGAAAAGTTACTTAATATCACATAGATATTAAGCATCAGAGAAAGGATTTGAACTCAGGTCTTTGGAAACAGAGCCACTGGTCTTTCCGCTGGGCCAGGGTGCCTCTCATCTGCAGGCATCTCCTATCCCAATGCAGGCAGTGTGTTGTGTTGGAAAGGGCAGAGCATCAGGCCTGGAAACCCAGCTTAGCTTCTTATGGGTCTTGGGTGAGTCACGAACTCCAAGGACTTCACTTTCTTCCTCTCTGAACTGAGGGATCATATGATCAAAGCTCTAGAGCTGCAAGGACCTTGTGAGGCCATCTGGCCCAACTCCCTCACTTCACAGATGTGGAAACTTCAGTTTCACTTAGCTAAGGGACTTACCCCAGGTCACTCAGTCTAGGGATTGACTTAGTAGACCTCTGAGATCTCTTTAAGCTTTAAATCTTACGATCTCGGGGCAGCTAGATGGCACAGTGGATAGAGCTCCGGCCTTAGAGTCAGGAGGGCCTGAATTCATAATCTGACCTCAGGCACTGGACACTTAGCTGTGTGACCCTGGGCAAGTCACTTAACCCTGATTGCTTCACCAAATAAATAAATAAATAAATGAAATAAATCTTATGATCCCTTATTAGGTGATAAATTCCTTGAGCGTGTTTTTGCCTTTGTACCCACAGTGCCTAGCATGGCACCTAGCAGTGAGGAAGTGCTGGATAAATGCGGATCAGAGGGTGAAAAGGAAGTAGACGCACCCCTGGTACCTACAGATGCTCCCTAAACTCTGGATTGTTGGGAGGAGAGTGTGTCATGGAGAGTGAAGCTCCTGGCATTGGGTAAATCAAGTTACTGTTTTCTGGAGAGCCCGGAGCTATGATTGCCAGACCTAGTACCCAAGGCAAATTCAGGTGAAAGTGGGAAGGGGGGGAGGGGGAAGCTTGTGTGTGTGTGTGTGTGTGTGTGTGTGTGTGTGAGATTCCAAGGACAGTTCAGACACGGGTGGAGGCAGATGATGTGCCATCCACAGTGCAATCCTTGCTTCTCTGGGGTTGGCAAAGACAGGTCTCAGGGTGACAAGATGCTGGAGATGACAGCCTGAGCAGGTGGAGGTAAGTCCCAGAGAGAGTGGGCTCCATAGGCAGGAAGTGCAGACTCTCCTGCCCTCCCCAAAGGAAACCTGCTGCCTCCCTCCCGTCACTCCCTCCCCCTTCCCAAAATCCCAGTGGGGCTTGTGGTGACAGCTCTGAGAGGAAGGCTCTTGCCGAGCAAACATGCTTCCTGGGAGGGAGGACACATCATCTCTCTGGATGACCTCACCTGATGAACTAGGGTCAGGAAAGGGAGGAGGACTCTGAGGAAATGGGATATAAGATGTGGATATTTTGATGATGAAAAGAGAGAAGGTCCAGAGCACATGTTGCCACTTGGGGGGAGAGGGGCAGGTATTATAGTATGGACTCGGACCTCAGTTTCCTTATCTGTAGAATAATGGATTTTGAGTTGATGGTTTCTAAAGTCCTTTCTAGCTTGGTGCCAATGACCTTGTGAGCTCCCTGGGCTGCAGTCTCCTCACATGTGGAGGAAATGAAGGGTTGCCATGATCCTCTGAGGTCTTTTCCAGCTCTCCATTATCAAAGGAGCTCAGGAACGCTGGTGCCCTGGAGAGGGGAAGGGGGAAGTGGTCTAAAATAAACCTGACTCAGGGGCAGCTAGGTGGCACAGTGAATAGAGCTCTGGCCTTGGAGTCAGGAGGACCTGAATTCCAATCCAGACACTTAACACTTACTAGCTGTGTGACCCTGGGCAAGTCACTTAACCCCAATCGCCTCATCAAAAAGCAAAAAATAAAAAATAAAAAAAAATAAAATAAATCTGACTCACATCACAAATTTGTCCACCAGGGGCCTTGACAGAGAAGCATGGTGGTACATAGGGGATAGAGTCACAGCTTCAGAGGCAGAACTAGGTTCGAGTCTCACCTCAGACACATAATGTATTTGTGGTCTTGGCCCAGTCCCTTAGCCTCTCAATGCCTCAGGTGACCCTCTAAGAAAGACTAGAGGCTACAGAGTAGTGACTTATTGATTGGCTCTACACCAATGAAATCACAAAATTTTGATTTCCCCCCAAAAGGGGCCCTTGTGGGAGGTAAGAATTCCCTATAAAATGGGAGCAGAGTGATGGGATTGGATCTGGGTCATTGGGGGAAATTACAGCAGTGATTACATTAACCCCAAATCCATCCTGGAACATGGGGAAATCCAGAGGGGAAAATCCCTGTCCTCTTAGGAAACACTTGGCTAGGTCTACACAAGGTTTATGCCCAATGAACCATGGTCCAGAGGCAAAGGCTAGGAGTGGACTGGAGAGTGCCCATGTACATACCAGTGCACAGCACTCCTGTAACAGCAGATTTCTTAGCTGCATGGATGTCCCCAGCACCTAATGCATTCCCCACTCTGACACAGATGGCGGAGCCCAATCCAAGAGGAAACTGGAATCAGAGAGGTGAAGATGAAATCAAAAGTGCCTGTGTGGCCTTCCTCTTTTCTTTGCAGAGGCACTTATTACATTGCATAAACTGTTGGGCTCAACTGATGTGTTCCCCCTTTCTTTTTTCTTCTGTTACAGTGACTGGGGGAAGGGAGTGATATATTTGGAAATGGAGGTGATACTAAAACAGAAGTTATCAATAAAAATAAACAAAAGCAAAAGTATTTGTTTCTGTGAGCATGTGTGCCTTTAGGAAGACACACAAAACTGCTGTACAGTGGAGAAGTTTTTAGGTTGCTTTTTACCCCTGGGAAAGGCTGCATGTTTTAGCTAAGGTGAAGAATGAATAGCAAGGAGAAGACCCAGGATGTGAACAAAGCAGCCAGGTGAGAAGGTGAGTGCAGCTGTAGGAGGGAAAAGAGATCCTGGGAAAAAGCTAGGAAGGCAGTCGTTGGTAGACAACCAGCTTCAAGAATGGTGATTGATGTCAACCTAGAAAGAGGTCCCTGATAGAATGCCCCCGGGGAACTGTCCATGATGCTGTTCTATTGAACATTTATCCCCCCCATGAATGCATAAATGCCTATAGCAAGCTTATCAAGTATTTGGATGACAGAAAACTAGGAGGGAGAGAGAGACAGAGAGAGAGAGACAGAGACAGAGAGAGAGACAGAGAGAGAGAGAGAGAGAGAGAGAGAGAGACAGAGAAGAGAGAGAGAGAGAGAGAGAGACAGAGAGAGAGAGAGAGAGAGAGAGAGAGAGAGAGAAGTGAAGGGAGAGAGGGAGAGAGAGGGAGAGAGATGGAGAAAGAGAGAGAGAGAGACAGAGAGAGACAGAGAGAGAGAGAGAGAGAGAGAGAGAGAGAGAGAGAGAGAGGGAGAGAGAGAGAGACAGAGAGACAGAGAGAGACAGAGAGAGACAGAGAGAGAGAGAGACACAGAGAGAGAGACAGAGAGAGAGAGAGAGAGAGAGAGAGAGAGAGAGAGAGAGAGAGAAAGAGAGAGAGGGAGGGAGAGAGAGAGAGAGAGAGAAGGAGAGGGAAGGGGCTTACATGGTCTGCTAGTTCCTGATCCCATGCCTTAATGGCAAAATTCACCTCTGCCTTAAAATGATAATAAATACCCATCAACGTCAGCTTTGTAAATGCACTAAATTTAATTACAAATAGGATAATATTTTAACCAATTTGAGCAGAGATTTAAACTAGAAAAGAAATGCAGAAAGAATTCTTAGCCCTTTTTTAAAATGGCCTGGACCCCTTTGGGAGGATGGTCGAGCCTATGGGCCCCTTCTCAGAACAATATTCTTAAATCACAAAATAAAACCCAAAAGCCAATTATTTTGAAATAGTTATAAAAATATCTTTTAAACAAATTCACATTGCTCTAAAGATAAGAAGGATTGAAGACTTTATAATCAAGCCTCCTCTTGCGAATGAAGCTCCAGGTGTCCTAGGATAACCCATTTACCCTCTCTGGGCCTCAGTTTCCTCTTCTGTCGATGAAGGGGTTAGGCCAAACAGTCTACAAGGGTTTCCCAGCTCTGAGTCCTCTGATCCTAAAGTCTCCAAGGATAGCTAGCAGGAACCAGGCTGGGCAAGTTTACAAGGTGAAGGGGGAGAGATGATTCTTAAGGTCTTTTGCCTCTTCCTGCCAGGCCCAGAAAAGACAGGAGGTTTGCACTCACCATGTATGTAAAAGCTGACACCTCATAAATTATGGACTGGGCAGACAGGTCCACCACACTGAGAAGACCTAGGAGAAAACAAAATGTTGAAGAACACAGAGATGGTGCCAGCCTTCCCCCACATGTACCAGATACAGGCCAGCCACCCCCAGGAAGAGGGGCTTGGGAGGAGAAAAGGTACTGAAACCTCAGTTAATGGATAGAGCTCTGGGCCTGGAGTCAGGAAGACCTGAATTCAAATTCAGCCTCAGACACTTACTAGCTGTGACCCTAGGCAAGTCACTTAACCTCTACCTCAGTTTTTTCATCTGTAAAATGGGGATAACAGCACCTACCTCCCAGGGTTGTTGTGAGAATAAAATGAAATAATATTTGTGAAGTGGTTTGCAAATGTTAAAGGGTCAGCTTCTTAGTAGCTCTTATTATCCTGCAATCCTATAATACTTCCCCAGAAAGCCCATCCTACTCATGGACAGCTCTCATTAAGAGGACGTTTTCCCTGACATCAAGACTAACTCTACCTTTCCCTACCTTCCACTCTCTGTTCCTTGTTCAGCCCTCTGGGGACAAGCAGAACAAAGCTAATCTATCTGCCACCTGGTAGCTCTCCAAATGGATGGAGACAGCTTTCCTGTCCCTCCTCTAGTCCCTCCAATGGCTCTGTGAATGGCAAAGTCTCACCTATGAGGAGGCTCCCAATCTCATAGGCCCACCACTCGATACATATCATAAGCATGCCCGGAATGGCCAGAGACAAGAAGCCTTGCCAGTCCTGTAGGCACTGGAGAGACCAACCTGAGAAGAGAAAGGAGGGAAGGGGGCTTATGTGATGTCATGCAGCATAGCCAGGCCAGGCCTCTGTCTTCTTCTGGTGTCCCCGTCCCTGTCCCCTGCCTCCAGTATCAGCCAGAGCCAGCAGTATAAATCCATTGGCCCAGGGATGCTCAAAGCGGAGCCTGAGGAGGCCCAACATGGGGATCCCTGAACAGTCTCAGCAAAGTCAGCCTTACATGAAAGTAGCTAAGATGATCAAAGGGTCTCAGAAGAAGCAATGTGGCGCAGTGGAAAGTGTTGGGACCATTGGACCCAGAATTGGGGATGGAAGTCAGGGAGCAGGTCTGGTAACTGAGGCAAGTTCAGTTGAGACAATGGAAGTGCTAAGACATGATCATTTTCTGTGCATACATGGCTGAGGTAGGTGAGACACAGGTCATGGGAGCTGAGGAGGCTGAGTAACTAGGAAGTCAGGGTGATGGGTCATAGGGTCATAGATTTAGAATTGGAAGGGAGTTTGGAGGCCTCACTTAACAAATGAGGAAACTGGGGCACAGAGAAGCCAGACAAAGCCAGGATCACACATCTGGTAAGTATCGGAGGTGGGACTTAAACGCAGGTGTTCCCTCAAGGTCATCGCTCTTATCTTCTGTGACTATAAGCTCGGTTTTGAAACTGCTGGGGAAGAGGTGAAGTGATCTGGGGAGCCTGAATGAGCAATAAGGATTTGGGCAGCTGGCTCACTTGAGAAGAGTCAGACTGTCAGGCAGCTGACCCTATCCTCCTCTCACCCCCGCCCAAGCCTCAGCCCTAGCCTTCCCCCATTCATATGTTCCCCTTCTCTCTCTTTCTGCTGGATCCTCTGAAACCTTCCTCAATGATGGTCCAATAGGAAGATCGTGGGATTTAGAGTCAGAAGACCTGAGTTTGAATCCCAGCTCGGGTGTCTCCTACCTGTGTGACCATAGGTAAGTTATTTTTCACCTCTCTCAGCCTTGGTTTCCTCAGATGTAAAGTGAAGGTATTGGAATGGATGGCTTCTACTCAGAAGAAGACAACAAATTCAAAACTGATATATCCAAAGCCTCACAGAAGAATGTAAATTGATTTCAGGGCCAAAAAGAATTCCTGGAAGAGCTCACAAAGGATTTTAAAAATCAAATATGATGGGCAGAGAAAAATTTGAGAAAAGGAATGACAGTGATGCAAGAAAATCATGAAGAAAAAAGGAGTCAGCAGTTTGGTAAATGAGGCCCCACAAAATTGAAGAAAATAACACCTTAAAAACTAGAATAGATCAAATGGTAAAAGAGGCACAAAATCTAATGAAGATGAGAATGCCTTAAAAAGCAGAATTGGCCAAATGGAAAAGGAGGTACAAAGTTCAGCTGGGAATGGATGACTTCCAAGGTCCCTTCCAGCTGTAAGCCTATGAACTTGAAAGGAGAGGTGATTGCTGAGTAATGGTGACAGAGAGAAGGTCTAGAAGGGAGGGTATGCTAGGTCCTCTTCTTGGCCTTGTGTAGCTAGGGGAGGAGCATCTTTGGAGGGGGGTGCCAAGAGCTGATGAGAAAGCTAGCATGGAAGGATCAGAGCATTATAGATCTAGAAATAGTAAAAGTCAAAAATGGGATTTGAACCCAGGTCTTCTGGCTCCAGAATCGGTGCTCTTCCTAGTGTAACACCTTCTTCTCTGGAAATGCAAGAGAAAAAAGATCTAGGGCAGAGAATCCTAGATTTGAAGGTGAAAGGGACCTTAAAAGCCATCTAGTCTAACACCCATTTTACAGACCCAGAGCAGTCACTCATAGGGAGTGAATGGTGGAACCTCTCACTCAGCTTTTCTGACTCTAAATCCAGTGGTCTGCCTGTTGCTCCATAAAGGAATAGGGTTCTAGTGAGTGCCATAGAAATGGTGGGCAAAGGGGGGCAGTAACAGGAAAGGGCCAAGGCTGAGCTTGTTGTTGGAAGGTAAGGGTGATCAACAGCTGCCACCCATGGGGCTGGTGACCAGATTTGCCGGGGACCCTCTTTTCCCCATCCCCAGCAGGTCCTACATCGCCCCAGGCATCCCATGTAGCCCAAGACCTCAGGCCTGGTGACTCATATGGGGCCATTCCCCTGGCCTGCTGGGAGATTCCTGGGAGAAGTAATAACTGGGCCACAGCCTGGGGACCAGAGCAGTGGAGCAGGTGGTGCTGGGGTGGGGAGGGACACAGGACAGCAATCGAGCACCCAGGGAAGAAAATATCCCCTTTTAGAGGTCAACACCTGGGGCACAACCTCAGTGCCCTAGTCTATTTCCAACTATGGTAGGGTCTGACCCTCGCATTGGAGGCCACTATCTAATTTGGAGACTTTCCTTCATCCACCACCAGAGGTAGGAGACTTGAGTTCTGGTGCCATTTTTGCCACTAGCTTATTCTGGGACTTTGGCCAGGTAACTTTTTAAACCTCACCTCTTTTTAACCATTTTTAGCCTCAGGTTTCTCATCCATAAAATGGGAAGAATAATCCTCATCTCTGGTTCCCTCATAGCACTTTTGTGGAGATTCAATAAGGCAGGAAAGCTCCCAAAAACATTGAAAGGGCACAATGCCTCATTAGGAGGCATCAGTACAGGGAAAAGAACATTGGCTGTAGAGTCAATGGGTCTGGGTTCAATACCCACCTCTGATGCTTACTACCTGGGTGACCTTGGTCCTCAGTTTCCTCATCTGGAAAATGAAAGAGTTGGGTCAATGGGATTCTGAGCTCCCTTCTAGCTGTAGACCTGTGATCCTCCTATCCAGACATACCTCATGCCTTTTGATCTAAAAAGCCATGTGCTACAGGATTGACTAGCATGATACCACCAGGGGAGGGGGTAAACAAACAGAGAGACACTTGGATGGGTGTGGCCAGAAAAAGAGAGAACGCCTTACCTCCCCATGTTTCCACGTAGAGTTTTTTCACCACAATATACAGGAAAAGGATGATGGTCTGGATGTACTGGGAAATGGTGTTGGCCAAAGCAGAGCCCCTGGGAAAGAAGGAAAAGGAAGGAAAGGAAAGTCCCAGGTGGGGAAGGCCTCCTTGTAACCCTTTGTCTCTACTCTCTGCCCCCATCCTATGGGCTCATATACCTTCCCACCTCGGGAGATGCTGAAACCAATCACGATAATAATAGAAGTAGTGATGGTGGTGGTAGTGGTGGTGGTGGTGGTAGTAGTAGTAGTAGTAGTAGTAATAGTAGTAGTAAATGTTTACACAGGCTACCTCCTGTTCTGCTACAGCCTGTTCTGTCCAGGAGCAGAGTCTGCTATTGAGCTTGAGCACCTATTCTAGGGGGCTGCCCTAGAACAGCTCCCAAGAGAGAGGGAGGAGACCTAGACCAGGAGTATTCTCACAACAGTGGACATTGCAGGCCAAGCTCCTGACTCAGCTGCCTTAGGTTAAGATATGGTGCAATAGAAAGAGTCCAATAAACAAACAGACCAATTAATTAATTAATTAATTAAATTTTTGGAAAGAGTCCAAAGGCCTGAATTCAAATTCTGAATCTGCTGTTTACTGTGACCTTGGACAAGTCAATTCCCTTCTCTGGGCCTCAGTTTCCTTTCAAGAAGTCGAACTAGGTGATCTTGAAGCCGTGGGAGCATCGGATCATAGCTTAAGGCTAGGAGGGACCTTAGGGGCCACTGAGGCCAATCTACCCATTTTACAAAGGAGAAAACTGAGATTCAGAGAAGGCAATTGAAAGGACCAGGGTCTACTAAAATATTAAGTGTCTGAAACAGGATTTGACCTCAGCGCTTCCTAACTCCAGGCTTGTGGATTTATCCACTAAGCCACCTTGTCAGAGGGCCCCAGTTCAAAATCTACCCCCATTGCTTATTACCTTAGGCCTCAGTTTCCTCTTTCGTAAAATGTGGGGATTGAACCAGATGTCCTCTTAGATCCCTTTCAGCCCTAAAACCAGAGTCCTATGCTTTCTGAGTTCTTTTCCATCTCTAGGTCTCGTGACTCTGGAACCCTTCCCATTACTTGAGTGACCCACCTTCCCCTCCCCCTCCTCTGCCTCCATCTGAAATGCCCCCTTCCCACTTGTCCCATCAGTGTATCTCTACCCCAAGCATGAGTGTCTGGGGGTCACCGCATTGCTGGGGAGGGGTAGGTAAGAGAGAAGTTGGTCTAAAGCTCTGAGCTGCTCTGGATACACCCAGGAGGGGAGTCAAGGCTTTACTACACCTTATGTTACATTTGTGCTGAGGTTTGCCAAGGCTTGAGAGGTGTCCCCATCACTTCCTGCCCTGTTTTTCCTATAGGAAGCTTTTTTTTTCTTTTCTCTTTCTTTCTTTAACCCTCTTCCTCAGGTTCTGCCCCTTGGCAGTAGGTGTGGGACTTCCTGCCCTTTGCCCAAATGCTCCCAGTTGGAGGCCATCCCCTCTGTACTCAACCCCACAAACGGGAGTTTGTATCTTACCACAGACGCTTACTAGCTGTGTGACCTCGGGGAAGTCACTTAGCTTTTGTCTGCTTCAGTTTACTCACCTACAAATCAATAAGCATTTATTAAAAACCTGCTATATGCCAGGCGCTGTGTAAAAGGGTAATAATATCACCCGTCTCTTGGGATTGTTTTGACGATCAAATGAGATAATATTTGTAAAGTGCTTCACAAACCTTCAAGGGCTATATAAATGCTATTATTATCATTATTTTTGTTGTTGTTACTGTACCAGATTCTTCCTGCCTTGGTAATGCCCACTTGCTACTTACGGCACTCTCAGATTCAAAACGTAGACAAAGATGTAGTTAGCCAGTGCATTGACCCCATTTGCCATGACAGTGCTCAGAACTGGAGGCCAGACAATGCCCTGAAATACAGGAAAACAGCAACCTAGCCACAGAACACTCAGACCCCCTGCTCTTCTTCTTTGAGTCTTTTTTGATACCATGACTTTTATGGGTAACCGTTCTGCAGTTGGGTAACTGGAGAGGGAGGATCTGTGAGTGTCAGCTCTCGTAACTGTGTCTAAGGTTTGTGTGGCTTCAACCCTGTCCATGACCAAGACTGACAGCCAGTCACCCCTCAGTCTGAGTCCCTTCTTACCAATTGTGAGAGATTGCTGGCCATAGGGAGGGGCAACGGAGGGCAGGCATGTGCCTTAAGTTAGGGTGGGCAGGGGAGTGGGCCTGCCCGCTGAACCACCTCCAGGTGGCCAAGGAGAAACTCTAAGTTCTTCCACAGCCCAATTTTTCCCATTCCTTCTAGCCCAGGTGGACCCAAGTTTGAAAAACGCATTTTAGGTTAGCCCCATGAAACCATACAGCAGTAGCAGGCAGGGCCCAGTGGGAGTGGTAAGGAGGGTAGCTATTTGGAGGCCTAGATAGGGTGGGAATGTCACCATACCTGATTTTGCAGATATTTCACTTCTAAGACATAGAGGAAGATTGCCTGGAGAGAAATATGCACATACACATTAGGACTGATCTTGGACGGGCTGATCATGGGTACAGTTCTAAGAAGTGGGCCTCTGCCTACTTCTTTCAAACATTCCCCCTCTTCCCTGCTCATCGAGAACCTGGTATTCTCTGTACCTCTCTAGTTGCTGTCAAACAGCAACTGTCTCCCTCATGTCTCTCCCACTCCAGTCCATCCTTCACTCAGCCACCAAAGTGATTTTCCTAAAGTGCAGGTCTGACCTCATCACCCCCCTAACTCAGTAAACCCCAGTGACTCCCTGTCACCTCCAGGATCAGATACAAAATGCTCTGTTTGGCTTTCAAAGTCCTTCATAACCTAGCTACACCCTACATACCTTTCTAGCCTTCTTACACCGTATTCCTCAATACGTACTCTTCCATCCAATGCTCCAACCTCCTGGCTATTCCTCAAACAAGGCACTCCATCTCTTGACTCCGGGCATCCTCTCTGGCTGTCCCCCATGACTGCAATGCTGTCCTTCCTCAATTCCACCTACTGACCTCCAAGGCTCCCATTAGATCTCAACTTCCTTTTAGCCCCCTACAGGTAACTAACTGCATGATAGGAACAAGGGGATGGGATCTGGACACTGGCATCTGGAATTGGTGGCTTCTCTTTCCTTCCCTTGCCATCGGGACGTGGACTTTCTGCCCGTTGCACAGACACAATCTGATCAAGCATCAGACTGAGACCACCAAGTGTTTCGGTGAGTGAGAACAACCCATGACCGATTCAGTGAAGTGAAAGCAACTAGAATTTGGGGAGAGGTGACCTTCCCTTGTGCCTGGGAGCAATGGAAATACTCACCACCCTTTAGAGCTGAGAGATAAGGGTGACTTACAGGAAGAGCAGGAATGAAGAACATCACATACTCCTGGGTTATCCTACAAGGAATGGAGGGAAATAAACTACATTTTAGCAGAGTTCTAAAGCGATGAGCAGAGCCCTCTCCTGGTTCCATTTTCCTAGCTATGGGGTTCTGCACCTTGATCTGTCTCAATCAATCAATCGATCGATCAAGCATTTAATAAGTGCATACTATGTACCAGGTACCTTGTGAAGCTCTACTCATACACATACAGAGAGTGAAACAAACCCTACTCTTAGGAAACTTACATTCTAAAAGGGGGAGATGTCAAGGGCATGTGTAAATATCTACAGTATAAATGTGAAAAGAATTCATGGCTATGTTAGTGTGGGAACATGGCCAAAGGACCCAAACAGATGTTTTTTAAAAAAGAAACTCAAATTGTTAATAATCATTTGACAAACGTTTAACAATCTAACAATAGTAGGACCTCAAGTCTAGAGATGAAGATGACTTTGGAGGTCTTCTGGTCCAGCTCTGTCATTTCACAGATGAGGAAACTGAGGCCCTGAGGTTTCCACTTGCCCAAGGTTTCACAGGAAGTAAACAAAAGAGGCAAGATTTGAACTCAGGTCCTCTGACTCAGAGCCAGTGTTTCCAAAAAATGCAAATTAAAACAGTATTGAGGTACTGCCTCACATCTGTCAAATTAACAAAAATAATTAAAAGCAATGACATTCAGTGTTGGTAAATTGCGGCGGTACAGGTACATGTAATCATCACTGGCGGGATTGCAAACTCATAGAATCTTTTTTTGGAGAATAGTCTCGCAATATTTCATTAAAAGTTACAAAATTAAATATATCCATTGTTGGGATCCAAAATATACCCCTCCCAAAGCATTCTCTGCTCAAAGATTTTCCTAGTGGCTGGGTGGTACAATGGGTAGAGACAGCACTTTTTAAGACCTCAGGTCACCTTCTAAGAGTCTAAGAGGCAGAGGAGGCGCTACCTGCATTGGTAGAGGGATTTTCCTCATCTGGGAGTTCCCAATACCAATACAATCACTGATTCAGTCCTGTTTTCCTGTTACATGTGATTGTAAACAAGAGAAAACAAAACTGGAAACCACCTAAATGTGCAACAATAGGGAAAGGGTTAAACAAACTGTGGTATTTTCATGTAATGAAATATGATAATACAGTTAAGGCTAAAAAGTATAAGGAATGCAAAGAAAATCTAGAAAGATTTTTATGAAATACTGCAAAAAAACCCAAAAACCTCGAACCCCCAAAACCAACCAGAACTATGTTAATAAGAACAATGAATTCAATTATACAAGGAATCCTTAAAGAAGATTCTTCTCAGGGCAGCTAGGTGGTGCAGTGGAGCACCTGTCCTGGAGTCAGGAGGCCCTGAGTTCAAATCCAGCCTCAGACACTTGACACTTACTCTTCTCAAAGAGGCTTAAGGGGAAGGATTGACATGGCATTATGACAGTTTATGCATGGAAATTAGTTTATGTAAATGTAAATGGTCACTGAGCACCTTTCATGTGTCCTTTTAAGGGGGCAAGGCAGGCCAGCCAATGAGGGGCCAGCACTTAGGACATGTATGAAATGTTCACCGGCTGCCAATCCACATAGACGCTCCTGATCCTACTTCTCTGAACGCAGGATTGGAGGAGCCTGGGGCTTCACTTTGTGGTAACGAAAAGCCTTTGAATGAGCTACTGAGCTGTAATAATACACATGCACAAGGCTTGAATGAATGCCAATGCTCTCTCTGTCTCTGTCTCTGTCTGTCTGTCTGTCTCTCTCTCCCCTTCTCTGCCTACACTGATGCTCAGAGATAAATTTCTAAGAAAAATCCCAAACTGTCTATGACGTCCTTGCCATATGGTTATTGAGAATTGTTTATGGTTAGAAAAATCATCCCATTGGGACCAACCCGGGGGTGAGTCTCTGATCCTTTCGGCCTGGTGCTCCAACAAGAGGCATACCATGCACTCTGTCTCCATTCAGCCTTGTCCTTAAAGCCTTTCCAGCCTGGCAGGATCTGTCAAAGCTGGAATTCTGCTACAGCCTTTGAGAACCCAGCATCACTCCCAGGCCATCATAAGCTATCCAAGAAGGACTCGACTGGAAGTACTCCTCTCACTGTCACTGCTTTGAGGGTTTGAAGAATGTAAGCTCCTTGAGGGCAGGGATCATTTTTGTGAGCTTTATTTATTTATTTATTTGTTTGTTTATTTTTTGCTTATCTTTGTATCCTCAGTGCTTAGCATAAGACTTGACTCATAGTAAGGGCTAGCTAGGTGGTATAATAGATAGAGTATCAGATGTATAGACAGGAAGACCTGAGTTCAAATCCCACCTCAGACACTTACTAGCTATGTGACTCTGGGCAAGTCACTTAACCCTGTATGCCTCAGTTTCCTCATCTGTAAAATGAGCTGGAGAAGGAAATGACAAACCCCTCCAGTATTTTTACCAAGAAAACCCCCAAAATGGGGTCATGAGTCACACACAACTGAAATGACTGAACAACGACAACAGAGACACTATGATAATAATAACAATAATACTATCATTTATATAAAGCCAGGCACTGTGCTAAGAGCTTTACAAATATTATCTCATCTGATCTTCCCAACAACCCGAGGGGGCTGATGCTATTATTAGAAAGCACCAAGTACTTGGTAGCCTGAGACTTTCTTTGGCAGTACAGGGTGTCCGAAAAGTCTTAGTGCAGTTATAAACCTTAATAGTTTAAATGCCCTGTATCTAATTTAGGATTCAGAGATAATTCTGACAAGGATGCTTGTAATTTACAAGCAAAAGATAAATCATGCAATTAAAATCCATTAACAGAGTAAGAGTGAGACATAACCATTACAGGAAAATTGTTAATGGATGATAATAAGTTAGTGTATATTTGCATTTGAGATATCTCTGAGAAACTAGCCTAGCTGACTTCTTTCTCTCAGGCAGTTGTATCTCTTCAGAACATAATTGCTGTTAGGTGTTAGCTGTGCACGCAAACGTTAGTTTGTTTCTTTCAAGTTAAAACTCCTGTTAAGGGTTAGTTGTGAGGCACAATCCTCCTAAATTAAAAACTATCCTCTCTTGTGTAGAGGTAGTCTGTCCTTCAGAAAGAGTGGCATTCTTTGTAGTTCTGGTTGGGATGGCATTCCTTAATAAATGTTCATCCATCTATCCATCCACTCATCCATCTATCCATTTATTCATCCATCCATCCATCCATCCACCCATCTATCCATCCATCCATTCACCCATCCATCCATCCATCCATTCATCCATCCATCCATTTACCCATCTGTCCATTTATTTATCCATCCAGCCATTTATTCTCATTGCCTCCTTGAAGCTAACAAAAGAAAGCAGCGTTATAACCTGAAAAATCCCATAATGGGTCATAGCCACCCGTAATCCTTTTACTTCCTTCATGCTTCAAGAGTCTGTGACTTCATTTAAGCCCTCCTCCACTCATGTGCACCCCAGCTCCTATAATAAATGGTTAAATAATGTCGAGGGTTGTTGCTATGGCCAAAAAAAACCTTATCCTGTTGTGACCAGCCTCACAATAATCTTCTCCAAAGTTATTCGAGTCCCAGAGTGAGAACCAGAAGGAATCCAAGGGGTCATGTACTCCAACCCTCTTACTTCATTCAAGGATCAGGAAACCAAAGTCCACAGCAGTGAAATAACTTGCTTGAGATTGCATAGGTAGTAAGTGACAGTCAGAATTTGATGGTAGCTGGGTGGTACAATGGATAGAGCACTGGGTCTGGTGTCAGGAAGACCTGAGTTCAAGCCCAGCCGCAGACCTTACTAGCTATGTGACCCTGGGTAAGTCACTTAACCTCTGTTTGCCTCAGTTTCCTCATCTGTAAAATGGAGATAATAACAGTACCTACCTCCCAGGGTTGTTGTCAGGACCAGATGAGTTAATTTGTTAAGTGCCTGGCATGTAGTAAGTGATATATAAATGTTAATTATTATTATTATTAAAGTTCCACCAACCCATGAACTGTGCCACAATGCTAGGTTGGCCATTGAATGACAGACTTTGCCTGCCAGGACTTACTCTTAGCAGGCATAGCCTTCAAGCAGCCAAGACTACCTCTGAGTGACCAGAAAACACTGGGGGTGGGGGAGTAGGGGGGGGGACTCTACATTATATGCCACATGTAGATGCACAATGCTGAATACCATTCGAATCAAAGACATCGATTTAAAAAAAATTCAAACCCCACTCTGGGAATAGGCAATGTGCCTCCCACTCGTTATTTCCCTGGAACGCAGTTGGGACCTCAGAGACCTTGAGGTCATGGGCCTCACCTGCACACATCAGGGTTTTGTCTGAGGAGGAGAAGAATCTGTTCGGTGTTAAGGAAGAGAGCCCAGCAGGGAAAGCAGCACAGAAGCAGAATCAAGATTCCCCTTTGCAGGATGACCCCCACATGCTTCTTGTTGGCACTTCCAAATGTCTGGAAAAACAGTGTGATGTAACAAAGAACAGGAAGACCTGGGTTAAAATCCTGCCCCTGACACGTACTACCCTGGTGACCTTGGTCAAGTCACTCGTCTGTCTGGGCCTCAGTTTCCTCATCTGTAAAATGAAGGGGTTGACTTCTAAGGTCCTTTCCCACTCTACATCTGTGATCCTAGGATTCTCTGAACCCTGACCCAATTTAACTGAATAGACATTGGACAATGTGCTGAGCCCTGCATTGGAGATGCCACTGGGGGAGATGCCAAGTTCAACCCCAGTCTCTCATGGAATGTGGTAGGAGGTTAGAAGAATTCTAGATCCTTTTAATTAAGAGGTTGGTTTGTGAGCACTTAGAAAGGGATGTGGTAATTACAAAGAGACAGTATGGTTTCATCAAGAACAGGTCATGACCAGACCATGGAGCTAAAGAAGACAGATGAGATATTATCTCCTCAGCTTCTTAGCAGAAATGGGGGGCAATGGGTGTGGGACACTACATGCATGGAAAGTTGGATTTTTTTATATGTTGGTTAGTTTTACTTACTAGCTAAGTTAGTTTCCCCCACTTCAAAAAAAATTCTTTAATATCAGAAATCTCTCTCTCTCTCTCTCTCTCTCTCTCTCTCTCTCTCTCTCTCTCTCTCTCTCCCCCCCTCCCTCTCCCTCCCTCCTTCCTCTCCTCCCTCCTCTTTCCTCCCTTCCTCTCTGAAGGAGAAGGAGGAGGAATAGACTAAGAAATGTAGGTGAGGTAAAAAACAAAGATTTCAGTGTAAATCCATTTTAAGAAAAAAGACAAGTCATGGCAAACTAACTGCCTTCCTTCCTTCCTTTTTTCCTCCCTCCCTCTCTTCCTCTCCTTTTTCTTTCTCCCTCCCTTCCTTCCTTCATTTCTTCTTCCTTCCTTCCTTCCCTCCTCCTTCCTCCTTCCTCTCCTTCCTTCCTTCCTTCCTTCTTCCTTCCTTCCTTCTTCCTTCCTTCCTTCCTTCCTTCCTTCCTTCCTTCCTTCCTTTCTTTTTCTTTCTTTCTTTCTTTCTTTCTTTTTCTGGCAAGTAGGGGCAGTTAAGGAATGGAATGAACAGAGAGCCAGCTTTGGAGTCAGGAAGGCCAAGATTCTAATCCCATCTCTGATACAGCCTGGCTGTGTGACCCTAGGCAAGTCACTTCTCTCAGTGCCCCCAAACAACATGCTAAGACTATAAATTGCAGAGCAAGTGCTGATCTGCATGGGTAGAGGGAGTTTCCTCAGCCAGAGTGGTTTTTGTTTGCCAATAAATAAACCACACTGTTATTTAATTTATTTATTATTTTACATATTTATATTTTATCTTATAATTTATAATTTTATTATTTCTATATTTATTTCCTATTATTTATTGCTTACTTATTATTTTTATTTGATCATTATCTAACATTTTTATCAATAGCTTCTATAAAGGTATAGAATACACAGTTATCAAATTTGCAGATGATACAAACCTAGGAGGAATAGGGTAAGAATAAGCATTTGTATAATGCCTGCTATGGACTAGGCACTGTGAAAAGCTCTTTACAGATAACATCTCTAACAAAACCCCGACAAGCTAGGTGCTGTTATTATCCCCATTTTACATTTAAGGAAACTGAGGCAGACAGTGGCGAAGCAGTTTGCCCAGGGTCACACAGCTAGTAAGTGTTTGGAACCAGATTTGAACACAAGTCTTCCTGACTCCAGGTCCAGCACTCTATCTACTGAACCACCTAGCTCATGTATCAGATGACAGTCAAAATCCACAGATATCTGGAGCTTTGGGTCAACTCTAATTAGATAGAATTTATTAAGCATAAATGTAAAATCTTAGGTTGGGGTTCAAAAACCAACTTCACAAATGAAAAAACGGAGCAGGGTGTAGCTAGAGAGCAGTTCATCTGGAAAAGATCTGAGTGATGGCAAGCTCAGCACACAGTAGGCATTTTATATGTATTGAATTGAATGGAGATGGGAGACATTTTGAGGAAGGGGCTTAAAGGATTGGTGGTCCTCTATTTTCTCAGTGAAATAAGAGGCCAAGTATTTGGGGTTGAAAGTATAGTTGTGGGGCTTAAGCAGAAGAAGGAAACAATGGAACAGCCTCTGGGAAATGAAATATGGAGGCAGAGTAAGGTGGAGAGCAGTGGCAAAAGCCCCATTCAGAGACAGCTGGTGGCTCAGCAGACAGAGCAGGAAGACCTGAGTTCAAATCCAGCCTAAAATACTTATTTTCTGTGTGACCTTGGACATGTCACTTCACCACTGTCTGCCTCAGTTTCCTCATCTGTAAAATGGAGATGATAACAGCACCTACCGCTAAGGGCTGTTCTGAGGATCAGATCAGATCAGATGATTGTTGTAAAGCACTCCAGCACAGTACAGGGCACATATTACTCCCTCCCAAACTCAAATAGACATCCTAAACCACTCTAACTAGCTCCAATGGACTGGGCAGAGTAGTCAAAACCCCTTCGGGGGCATCTTTCTCTGATGCTGCTCTTCCTTCTTCCACTTTTCAGTTTCCAGGCAGCCTAGTGCCCTCTCGCTTCCTCCCAGCTGCTCTAGGAACTCTGTCTTTCCCTATTCCCTTATCTCCTATGAAAATGGATCCATTCTGTTCCTATGTTCCATTCTGTCATGGCCCAGGCTTCTGAAAGCATTCATTCATTCATTCTATAAATACTATTTATTCTATAATGCTATTCATTTTATAGATACTAGTCTACAATATACATTCTATAAAATACTAAAGACCTATGTACAAAGCAGGATGCTGGCTCTAGGGCAGGGGTAGATAACTTGTGGGGAGGAATATTTGGTAAATATATCTATTATACTATTGAAATGTCCCCATAGTGATAATCAAAAAATTTATATTGAACAGCTTCGTGATGCCAAAAAAAATGTTACATAGGAAATAGTTTTCTTTATGAAAAATGAATGAATCTTTTTGTTTGATTTCTTAGGTGAATATGCATGGCAAACACAAGCGTTCCTTTCCTTTCGGGGCACAAGATGGTTTTACAGAAAGCCGATGAGGACAGGAACCCTGTTCTAGAAATACAAAGATAAAAATTGAAAACAGCCCCTGCCCTCAAAGAGCTTACATTCTACTGGTCTGTGCTAATGCCTTTGTGGGCATTTAAGGGGCTAATGTATTACATCTCATTTATCAAGCAACCTATTTGGGTTGAACTGGGAGCCTTTTAGAGACATACTACCTCTTTTTTTATTTTTTTGGCTAGGCAATGGGGTTAAGTGACTTGCCCAGGGTCACACAGCTAGTAAGTATTATGTGTCTGAGGCTGGATTTGAACTCAGGTCCTCCTGAATCCAGGGCCGGTGCTCTATCCACTGTGCCATCTAGCTGCCCGAGACATACTACCTCAATCCAAATGAGTGACTCCAATGGGCTGGCTCCAATGGGCTGCCTGGTGGAGGAGATGCTTTGGGGTCAAGGTGGAGAGTGGAGCCCTGCAGACCGCTGTGGACAATCTGCTATCTGTTTATGTGGGACGCACCACCCAACAGGACTGGATCACAGGATAAATTAGAATGAGAACTGAGGCCTCCTAAGCAAGGACTTTCCAGCTGTTAGGGCTCTCTTCCTCCTGAAATTCCTAAGCAGAGACTAATTGTTAGGGAGCTTTTCCTGATCAAGTCTCAGGTGGCTTTTTTGCCCCTTCTAAATACTACTCCAGGTATGGGGGTAATGCCGGCTGCTACAGAGCAGAACAAGATTAATTCCTCTTCTTACGAAAGCCCTCTAAATACCCCAACAGAGCTTTGATGCCTTTGAAGCCTTCTTCACCTGGCCAAACATTCCTTGCTTCTTCAATTAATCTTTCACACCTGAAGTGTCAGGTGTCGGGCTCAACGGTCAGACAACCCTCTCCGATGAGGCCTGAACCAGATTTAAAAGGTAATCGGGAAATGTTTAACAAAACAAACGCAAATAGGGCAGCTAGGTGGCGAAGTGGATAGAGCACTGGCCCTGAAGTCAGGTAGGACCTGAGTTCAAATCCGGCCTCAGACCAAACACTTAACACTTACTAGCTGGGTGACCCTGGGCAAGTCACTTAACCACCAATTGCCTAAAAGTTAAAAAACCAAAAAATAAATGCAAATACAATAAAACACAGATACTATTACTATGTGGTTTTCTAAGTCACTAAATCAAGGGATCCTTATGTCCAGCCCTTTCTATTTGCCTTTGACATTCCTGGTCCAGCCAGAAAGCCCTTAAGTACTTAGAGTTAGCTTTCGCTCCCAGCCTCCCAATTCTCTCCTCTAGACTCAACATTCTCAGTTTCTTCCCTCACATGGCATGGGCTCTCATTCTAGCTCTATTCTGTATGTTCTTCCTGGCTCTTCTCGAAATGCGGTGACCAGAACTGAACGTAGCTATGGTGTGACCAGGGAAGAAGATGGTTGGATGACTGCCTCCTGAGTTCTGGATACCTTTTGTATTTTTCAACTAGACCTGCAATTCCATTCATTTAGGAAACTATCGATGAAGAAATTCAGATCAGCACCTGTTCTGGCACTAAATTAGTGACTTCTCCAGAGGCTCAGAACCAGGATGTATCCGAGATGGGACTTGCCCCCCTCCCCACACACACACACACACACACCATCTCTCTGACTCTGAGTTCAGCTGCCTGTGGATTCTATGCCTTGATTTCCCACATACTCTGCCTCTTTCCCAGTAGCCTAAAATGGCGTTAGCTTTCTACACCAACCCTCTAATTTCTGGACTAATTCATTTCTAGGGGCCCTGGATTCATGCTATGGGTATCTAATTGACTTGGTTCTGAACACTTCACTCGAGAGAGGAGAGCAGCAGGTGGCTTATCTGATTCTTCCCTGGAACAAATGAGATCATCCGGTCATCCAAGCAAATCCTCAGTGTCCACTGAAGTGAAGCCTCCTACCTGAGATACCAGGGTGTCACAAGCTGAGGCCAAGCCATGACCGACGGAAACTCCACAAATGTTGACGAACTAGAGCAAGAAAACACAACGTTTATCAGTTAATCAATCAACACCTGTTTCTTACTTTCCTCCTACAGGGGAGGCACTGGGGAAAGAAAAAAGGGATCATGGCCTGTCCTCAAGGGCCTTACATTCTAGCAGGGGAGAAAAGTACACACGTGTCTATAAACAAATAAATGAAAGACATTGGGGGATGGAGGCATTAGCAGCTGAGTGGATAGGAAAGGTCTCGTGAAAGAGTAAAGTAGGATTCCTAAGAGGACACTAGGCAGACGTCCCATGTCCCTGGTCCTTGGTCATATGCAGTAGGTCTACTTCTGCTAGGCCTGGGAGGACGTTTCAGGGGCAGGAGCCCTGAGGACTGGGGATGTCACTTGAGGGGTGCTCGGGAATGGAAGCACAAGGAAACGGAGGGGGAGAGAAGGAACAGAACTGTAGCTTCTCTCCAAGAAGGGATGGCTTCCCCCCAGTGAACAGGGGAGCACACTCACCGCGACAGCCAGTGTTACCGAGGCCAGCTCCAGCTTCCCCAGATGCCCACAGAACACGCTGCTCTCCACAAAGATCATGAAAGTCAGCAGTTGGAAAAGGAACTACAGGAAAGGAGGAAGGGAATAAGCCTGGATGAAGTGCCTACTATGTGCTGGGCACTGTGCTAAGTACATTATGAAGATTATTTCATTTGAGAAGAGGGACAAGTCAAGAGTTCTCTGAGTTCTAGGGAGTGGGGCGGGGTGGGGTCGAGGCATGGGACTTAGAGCTAGATGGGGCCTTGGAGATGGTTAGGCCAATCCCCTCATTTTTCAGAGGAGAAAATCGAGGCCAAGAGAATGGAAGTCACTGCCCAAAGCAGAGGTAGGATTCAAATTCGGGTCTCCTGACTCTTTCCCCTACACTAACGGTGCGTGACGGACGCTCCCAGAGTAACTCATCCCTGGGCACTTCCTGCAGGTCTGTGTTCAGTTCAATTTAACCACCACTTTTTAAGCACCTACTAAGTGCCACACACCAAGCCAGGCACTGGGGATACAGAGATAAAAATGAGACTGGGGAGGGGTCTCCATTGGCAGTAAGAGGCCCTGCTTCCTGTCTTGGTTCTTAAGGAGCTCACACTATCCCAGAAAGAAGGTCATCTGCCAGTGGCTGAGGAAAAAATCAGGAAAGACTTCAGGGGGCGAAGAGAAGCAAGAGAAAGGCCCTATGATGAATTGTCACTAGTGGCTTGGAACTCCTTTTATAATCATGACCATAATCACAGCAAGTACTTATATAGTGTAAACTTTCTAATTTATACAGTGCTTCATAAATATTACCTCATTTGATCCTCACAGGTAGGTGCCCATTTTATAGATGAAGGAACTGAGGCAGACAAGTGAAGTGATTTGCCTAGAGTCACACAGCTAGGAAGGGTCTGAGACTGGATTTGAACTCGGGTCTTCCTGACTTTAAGCCTGACCCTCTATCCACCGTCCCCCCAGGTACCTTGCTCTAATGTACCATGATATGTGCCACACCCCACCATGAGTTTGGTGCCCTGGGAAGGCTACAGAAGGAGATGTCCCACTTAGAGCACCAGAGGGATGATCAAAGTAGGGAAATTGGGAGTGAGACTTGAGTGGAGCATGCTGAGGGTTTGGGAAGCCTTCTCCTTTCCTGAGGATGCAGGTGGATACATTGTGACATGGTCGCTCTCTGATTCCATTGGAGAAAGTGATGGGAAGGGGGATCTAGTTTGGGAGTGGGGAAGTGATGGACCCCACATCTGCCTTCCCTCCCCATCCTTTTGTCTCCCATCCAATTTAGGGATTGTCCCTGTGATGAAAGCTCTTCCCCTTTTGATATTTACTATCCTGTGACCTCAAAGTCCTATCTGAGCCCCAATTTCCCCATCTGGAAAATTAAGGGGTTGGATTAAATTACCTCTAAGCCCAAAGGTCCAGCCTACTTCTATTTATATCCAGCTCAGGAAAGCACCAGGTGATGGGAGATGGGGGCCCCAAGGTGCTCTCCCCTCCTCTGCAGGCCTGTCCTCTTACCAGGGGTCCTGAAAGTACAAGGAGACTCCGGACTTCTGCTGTAAAGCCTTCTGGGATGATCTTCCAGAGTCCCTTCCGTGGGGGTGCCTCCCCACTGCTCTTGTTGTCTCCAGAAGGGCCCTCGTCAATGATTCTTGGGACCTGGTCCATTCTGACCCCAGGCTCTAGGGCCTCCCACGGCAGACGGAGAACTCTCCCCAAATCAGGCAAGGGCTGTTCCTCAGACCCTGCAACTAAAACTCATCGGCAGAATCCAGGGGCTGGAGAAGGGATTTCAGCCGGATCTGAGAGCTGGGAACCTTAGGCCTCCTTTCTCTTTTGCTAGAGTCACACAGGAATCACTTGAAGCCAGGGTAATGAATAAATAAGGAGGGCAGCCAACCGAGGGGTAAGGTCGTGTGGGGAGGGAAGAGCCCGAGGTGGAACCAGAAGATTCCAGTTGGGTGAAGAGGCAAGCCCTAAGGCAGGGCTGGGCCAAGGCAAAGGCCTCTGAACTGCCCCTCCCCCTACCCCCACCTCACCTGGCCTTGGCTGGAAGGATGTCCATTGGCCTTTCCCGCTAGAGCCTGACACCTCCTGGGTGTCCAGTCTAGTGCAGCCCAGCCATTCAGGACTGGCCTAGACAGGGAAGCCACATGGAGTTCCTGGTGGTGTCCGAGTCACAGGGATGGAGTGGCTTCAAAGGATCGCCCCTGCGGCTCTGTAAGGCATCACAGAGGACATTTAGCCCACCCCTCCTTGTTTTACAGACAAGGAAACTGAGGCCCAAGGACGTGAGGTGACTTGCCCAAAGTCATGCCCAGGGCTCTTCTTCCTGCCCAGAGATTCCCTCATGGACTCACAGTCAGTGTATGTCAGAAGCAAGACCGATTAAGCACCTACTGTGTGCCATGCACCAAACTGGGCACTGGGGATACAGAGATAAAAATGAGGGGAGGGGTCTCCATTGGCAGTGAGAGGCCCTGCTTCCTAGGATGTGACAGGCCCTGGGCAAATTTGGGGGGTGGGGGTGGGTCCGGTCTATATAAATAATTTAATCTTAAAATATATAATAAGATACTATGAATGGAACCCATGTGATATATTCTGATTTATCTATGAAAATTTAGCTTAAAACACTTACTTTTTCATAAGAAGTATTATGATTTAAATGGGGCAACTAGGTTACACAGTGAATATAGAACACTGGGCCTGGAGTCAGGAAAATCTGAATTCAAATGCAGCCTCAGGCATTTACTAGCTGTGTGACCCTGGACAAGTCACTTTACCTTGTTTTCCTCAGTTTCCTCATCTTTGAGATGAGCTGAAGAAGGAAATGGCAGATGCAGGCTAGCTCCATTTATCATGTAGGACAGTGGCTCCTGTCACATAACCTAATGCTAGAGGCTAGAAAGTTTGTATGTAGACCAGAATACTTAAATTTTGTATTTTTTGTGTTTGTGTTTAAACTGTCACAAACAATGTTACAAACCCCACCCCCAAGATTTGGTGGGGGGTTTTCATATGAAAATATTGTTATAAGTTTGTATTAACTATTTCTTGCAGTTCATACTCCTGCTTCTAATCCCCCTCCCCCACAAAAGCAACAGAGAATTAAAAAAACATATTTCTAAATCGTAATTTTTTAAAAAAAATTTCCGAGGTTTCAAAGATAGTGCCTGAGACATCCAGCCTCAGTGAGGCAGTGGCGAGTGAAGGGCTTGGAGGCAGGAAGGAGAAGCTGGAATCCTGCCTTGGTCACTTACTGGCTGTGTGACCCTGGGCAAGTCATTTACTCCTCACCCTCAGTGTTCTAACCTGTCAGGTGGGATAAATCACCTGCCTCCCTGGTTGCCGTGAGGATTAAATGGGAACATAGGTAAGTCAGTTTTCAAACTTATCACTCTAAATGTAAATACTGACTTGTCATTACTATTGTCCTTGTGACTTGGTCCCATGTCATGGTGTTTGGTGGGGGAAGGGAGAGGAACGGCAGACACAGGTGGGCCACTCCTGCACTTACCACCCGTACCTTCGGCCGCATAGATTTTCTCTATCACGAAAAGGTATTTTCGAGGAAGAACTCCCTCTGCAAGCTAGGCAGCCCCCTTTTCTCTGAAAAGCATTAGGGACTCCCAGGAGAGCTGAAAAAGGAAAAATCCCTCTGACCTGCAAGGTCAGGGCACGATCCCACCCTGGGGATCGGAACCTTGTTGGCTGCAGCAGCGGCAGGGGAGCCAGATAGAGGACACTGGAGAAGGAGCTTAAGTCCCACCTGGCCTGGTCTGAGGATTCCCTCCCCTCCTTCCCAGAGCTCCAGCTGGAAATGCCTTAGCTACAGATTACTGTTCAATTAAATGTAAGTGTTTCTGGCACGTTTGATCCTAAGTCACAAAGAACATTATGAGTGTTAATTTTTTTTTAATACTTCCATCTGAAGAATTTTATTTTTTCCATCCAGACAGGATGGCCTGCAGGAGAGAGGTAGGCAAACATCTCTTCGTTTTATACCTCAGAGGATCACAGATTCAGAACTGGAAGGGACCTTAAAGACCATGATGACCAACCTCATTTTATAGATGAGGAAACTGAGACTATTGGAGGTTTAAATGACTTGCTCAGGGTCACATAGCTGTACAGATTTGAACTCAGATCTTCCTAACTCCAAGTCCAGAGTTCTATCCACTGGCCAGGGGATGACCAAGCACTGGAAAGATTTTGTGCTTCCCTTTGACTGGTGAACCCTGAGTGGTCACTTGACCCTCCCTGGCCCTTCTAACAGCGTGAGTGTTGGAAGAGTTTGAATATTAAATTGCTGCAAGCCAGGGTGTTGGAAATGGGAGGAGGATGAGATTGTATTTATTTAGGAATGGGAGATGATATTGGTTTTCTATGGCTTTCCTTTGGATTTTTTCCCAATTCCCAACAATAAATACGTATTTAGTGAATGCCTACTGTGTGCAAGGCAACACGTTGCAAGGTGAGGGTAAAAAAAACAACAAATCAATCATTGACCTCAAGGAGCTTATATTGGACTGCAGTGGGGGATAAAAAACGTGCACAGAGAAGTAACTATAGCTCTATCTATATGTGTGTATGTATGTATGTCTGTATCTATGTGTGTGTGTGTGTGTGTGTGTAGTTACACATATAGTAATTGCTCTGTGCACACAACGTATATACATACACATATACATATATGTGTGTATGCACTATGTGACCCTGAGCAAGTCACTCAACCCTGTTTGCCTCATTTTCCGCTTCTGTAAAATGAGCTAGAGAAGGAAACAGCAAACCACTCCAGAATCTTTGCCAAGAAAACTCCAAATGAAGTCACAAAGAGTCAAACATGACTGAAATGACTGAACAAGAATGAAAAATGTGTGTATACATAAATATGTAAATATAGACACACAAAAACAAATACAACGTAATTTTGTGGTGGGTGAGCACTTAACATTTTGGGGGAGCTTGTAGGGGTAGTGAGTAGTAAGAGGCTTGAAGCTTTGGGGCATTTCAAGATGGGGAGGGAGAGCACGTCTGGTACACTGGACAATCTGGGCAAAGACATGGATGCAGGAGATGATGAGAACAGCAAGTGACCTGATTTAATTACTTATTTATTACTTCTTTGCCTGTTTTATTAGCATGGTGACGGACAGACCCCAAGACCCAACTTAGCTGTAGAAGTTGCCAGTCTCACACGGGGTGGAGACTGAGCTGCTGACTTGAAGATGAACCCTAGTGTTGGAGGGGTCAGGTTTATGTGACATGCAAGCTAGACTTGAATCCATTTCTCATGTTTCTGAATCAACGGGCTGTTTGGGTGAGTTTGGAGATGTTGTGAATCAATCCAGAGTCTTTTCATCTCCATCCTTTCTTCAAATTTGATGTTAAAGTTTGACAATTGTCCTAACTAGTCAATGGTCTGGCTGCGCACCGAGGGCTGATTTGGAAATGATTTCCCTGTCACTAAGCAGTTGTTTCCTGTCTGTTAAGAAATAATTAAGAGGCAGCATGGAACAGTGAAGAAAGAGCTGGGTTGCATCATTGGGAAGATGTGGGTTTAAGTTCCTTTCTAGCATGTACTGTGATCCTGGGCAACTCCTGCCACCTGTCAGTGCCCTAGGGCAACTCTGTGACCACAATTGGCAGGGCAGGTGCCAATCTTCATCGGCTTCCTCATGGGGAGTTCTGTATATCAATTAAATCATAGGCCACCTAGGAGAGAGGAAGAGAGAGAGAGAGAGAGAGAGAGAGAGAGAGAGAGAGAGAGAGAGAGAGAGAGAGAGAGAGAGAGAGAGAGAGAGAGAGAAATCATTGATTACATTTCTTATGAAGTTTCTTGGTGCTCACCATTTGTAGAATCTTCTAAATCTCTTCTTTTTTTATTATTAATTTTTTTAAATTTTTAGGCAATTGGGGTCAAGTGACTTGCTCAGGGTCACACAACTAGTAAGTGTCAAGTGTTTGGTGTGAGGTCACATTTGAACTCAAGTCCTCTTGACTCCAGGGCCCGTGCTCTATCCACTGCGCTACCTAGCTGCCCCCTCTAAATCTCTTCTTGAAGAAAAGACTAATGATTTATAATCACGAGGCTTTGAAATCATTTATAAGCCTTTCTTTTCGTAGGTCTTACCATGTTTTCCCACCTTCCCCTGTGTTTCCATTAGCACTGAACTCACTAAATATCAGGATACAAGTTGGTTTGAAGGCTCTAGTTAAATCGCGTAATTGTGTAAAATGTCTCTACTCCTCCATCCACCGACATGAAGAATGGCTCCACAGCTGGGGCCCACTCCATCACCGTTAGCCCCTTGCCTGCACTTACCTGAGTCCCATAAATCACAATGGCCCTAGGTTTATCATTGCTCTTAGACATATAATGAAACCAATTCGGCCAGCTCCTTTACCCCCATCTCTCTCAGAAGAACTCTAATAGTAACCATAACAGTATTATTGGCCATGTCAGTAGTATATGTAGTAATAATAATAATAATTAATAATAATAATAATAATAATAGCTAACATTTATATAGGCTTTACTATGAGCCAGACACTGTGCTAAGTACTTTAGAATTATTATCTTATATGATCTTCACAAAAAAACCTGGGAGCTATTATTATTCCCATTTTTCAGATAAGGAAACTGAAGCAAATAGAGGTGAAGTCATTTGCACAGGGTCATACAGCTAGTGAGTACCTGAGGATGGATTTGAATTCAGGTTTTCTTGACTCCAGGCCCAGTGCTCCATCCTCTTCATCACCTAACTGAACGCCACCACCGAGGAGAATGATTTACATCGTAATGTTATTGTAAAGACAACAACTTCGAAAGACTTAAAAACTCTAATTAATTCAATAATCAACCAGGATACTAGAGGACTCATGATGAAACAAGCTACCCAC